ATTGTGAGTTACTGCTTTTAGACAAATATATTGGTATCCATTCTTGTATATTAATACAAAGTTAAATTATATTGACTATTGTATGCATGCATGTTTCTATCTCTGTTTAAAACATTTTTTATGTATTGACATATATTGTATTGATAAATATATATTGTATATATTTACCATATTGCAGTGTACATTTCTACCTCTGATTAAGATACTTATATAATGTTTGTGTATTGATATATATTTACCATATTGCAATGTATATTTGTACAGTGTTTATATTTGGAGGTCATTATCCTCATTTGTTACACAGTTGTTTATTGTCTTAGTCTTTAAGTTAGATAGATATTGAGAATTATATAGATAAATAGTCATCTAAGTTTGTCATTTATAATTAGACTAATCAGGTTCTTTAGATATATAGAGATTATACTCAGTATAGATAGATAATCTTCGACCTCTTCAAAGAGCTGTAGAAAATGGCCTTTAATCTAACTCAGAGTTTCGTGATAGTGAGACACAATTGCTCCTGGCAACACCGCTCTATTCCTGAGAGAATGTTGAGCACCAAAGACACTCCACCTGGAGCCTTTCTATTTGGCAGAACTGGCCTTTGGGCAAAGAAATGCCCATACCTCAACCACTGACAGAGATACAGAGCGTGCATCAATGGATAAAACAGGGCTGTCATATCCTGCCAAGACAGGGTAAGATAGTTTTGAAAAGTTCCTTGCCTTTAATAATGGTATGTCAGTTATGTTAGGCCTTAGCCAAAATTGGTTGACTCAACATTGCAAACGAGACTTTGGGTGATTGCCCAGGTAGTCAGTTGTCTCTGTCAATTGTTGCACATTTTGGATATATCTCGTTTGTTGAGTAGTGTTTATTCCCTTCTCAGATCTTTGACGGAGTTGAAGATTATATAATTGTAGTTACTCTCTACATTATTTGGACTCCTTGAGATAGAATGTTTAGCAAAGCTTTTGTTCTCAATATTGTTTGTTATGTTTATTATTTATTGTTATTGTATATAGTTGTATTTGGTTTGGTTCTGTCTTATTTAGATAAAAAGGGGAGATGTAGGGATAAGTCCCGCCCCTTGGGGGGCGTGTTCGCCTCGGGCTAATGTTTGCCTATAAATTTGGCTAGCGTGCTCCCAGCAGCTGCTTCTGCTTTCCTGGTCTCCGCGGGAACGGTGGTTCTGTAAGTCTATTTCTACATTAAAGTTATGTATATATATATATATATATACAATATTATTACAATCTGTCTGCATTCGTTTACGCCATTACAGATAACTCAGTGATTAAGAGCACTGGCTCTTTTTCAGAGGACCTGGGTTCAATTCCCGGCACCCACCTGTGATTTTCTTAGTGCTTATTTGGGGCACTAGGCCAACTTCATACACTTAATATTTCATGTTGGAGGTAACTCATGATCTTATTTGCTAATTTTTTTTTTTTTTTTTTTTGGTTTTTCGAGACAGGGTTTCTCTGTGGCTTTGGAGCCTGTCCTGGAACTAGCTCTGTAGACCAGGCTGGTCTCGAACTCACGGAGATCCGCCTACCTCTGCCTCCCGAGTGCTGGGATTAAAGGCGTGCGCCACCATCGCCCGGCTTTATTTGCTAATTTTGAAGACTTTTCATGTCTATTTTATCTTTCAGGGTTTAAGAAGCCCTCCATACAGTGTCTTCTAAGCCCTTTGAGACAAAGCAAGCTTAACCAACAGCTCATAGATACAACTCCAAGTCTAATTCAACTTGGTGTTCTTATAAATGCACACTTTGTAAATGATATTAACCATGAGAATCACACACACTGTACATAGATATGTTTGTATATGTGGAGCTAAGGTCAAATATCAAATCACCTTTTTTTTTTTGAGATGGGGTTTGTTGATGAACTTAGATCATGATTAAGCTATGGCCGATGAGTTCAGGAATCCTCTCTCAAGCTCTCCTGTCTCTCTGCTGATTAATGGCTGTGCAGCAGCATTTAACCCATGCAATCCCATCTATCAATTCCTAGATTTATCTCCTCTGGCCTTTCCTTTTCTGAAAGTGCTGGCTAATGCCTATATCTTGAAGTGTTTTGTTAATGTCTTCTGCAGTTTCAGAGTTTCAAATACTAGGTGGCTGTAGCTGTGTAGGTTTGCTTTTGAGTTGTCTGCCACATCTCAATAGTCTGGCCATCTCTTTTTGTGCTCATAGCATATGATTTTGTTTATGTGGCCTTGGAGTATCTAATGGTTTATGGTCAAATATCATAATGTCTCCAGCTAAGAACTGCTATGGGTATTCAGTCTTTTTTACTTCTATATGAAGTCCCCCTCACCACATAATAATCAAAACACTAAACATACAGAATAAAAAAAATAAGAGCTGCAAAAGAAAAAGGCCAAGTAACATGTAAAGGCAGACATATCACAATTATACCTGACTTCTCAATAGGAAACTGAAAGTCAGAAGGTCCTGGATAGACGTTCTGCAGACTTAAGGGTCCTTGGATACCAACTCAGACTATACCCAGCAAAGCTTTCACTCACCATAGACTGAGAAAATAAGATATTCCATGACAAAACCAGATTTAGACAATATCTATCCACAAATTTAGCCCTACAGAAAGTACTAGAAGGAAAACTCAAATTCAAAGACGCTAGCAAAAACAGGCAATCTTACACCAGCAAATCCCAAAGAAGGGAAACACGGACACACACACATTACCACCAACAACAGCAAAGCCGAAATAACAGGTACTAACAATCACTGGTCATTAATATCTTTTAATATCAACAGTCAGCCTTATAGAAACAGTAAAGATAACTTGAAGGTTTTGTGGATCCTTTTTATTTTTTTGCTTGAGGTTCTAATCCATTTTTTTCCATTCAAAAATTTACACTTCCTCCCCTCCTCCCAATTCCCTCCTGCTCCACCACTCACCCTCCTCCTCTCCCCCTCCCCGCTTGAGAGAGGGCAGGGAACCCTGCCCTGTGGGAAGTTCAAGGCCCTCCTCCCTACATCCAGGCCTAGGAAGCTGTGCATCCATATAGAATAGGGTCTCAAAAAGCCAGAACATGCTGTAAAAACAAGTCCCAGTGCCTTTATCAATGGCTTCTCAGTCAGCCCCCATTGCCAGCCACGTTCAGAGTCCGGTGTGATCACATGCTCGTTCAGTCCCAGTCCTGATGTGGGAGTGTCATATATCAATCTGTTGATTTCATTGGCTAAGTAATAAACAAACTGCTTGGGCTCATAGCTTAGAACATAGGTGGGAGGAGTAAACAGAACAGAATGCTGGGAGGAAGAGGAAGCGAGCTCAGAGACGCCATGCTCCCTGCTCCTGGGCAGACACATGTGATGAAGCTCCGACCCAGGATGGACATAGGCTAGAATCTTCCCGGTAAGCGCACCTTGGGGTGCTACAAACGATATTAGATATGGGCTAGTCCAGGTGCGAGAATTAGCCTAGAAGAGGCTAGATAGAAATGGGCCAAGCAGTGTTTAAAAGAATACAGTTTGTGTGTTGTTATTTCAGGCATAAGCTAGCCGGTGGCGGGATCTGGGTGGCAGAATGCAGCCCCACAGCTCCCACGACACGGTCCAGCTCTCAGGAAATTGGGAATCAACCTACCTCAGGATCTAGCAATACCACTCTTGGGAATATACCCAAGAGATGCCCAATCATACTACAAAATCATTTGTTCAGCTATGTTCATAGCAGCATTATTTGTAATAGCCAGAACCAAGAAACAACCTAGATGCCCTTCAATGGAAGAATGGATAAAGAAAGTGTGGAATATATACGCATTAGAGTACTACTCAGCAGTAAAAAACAATGGCATCTTGGATTTTGCATGTAAATGGATGGAAATAGAAAACACTATCCTGAGTGAGATAACCCAGACCCAAAAAGATGAATATGGTATGTACTCACTCATTAGTGGACTCTAGCCATAAATCAAGGACATTAACCCTTAATATCCTTAATGTTCACAAGCCTTAGAGAAAGAAGCCAAATGACAAGGTGAACCCAAAGAAAAACATATAGATCCTCCTGAAAATTGGGAGCAAACAAGATTGCCAAGCAAAAGTTGGGAGCATGGGGGTGGGGTAGGGATGGGAGTAAGGTTGGGGGAAGGGGAGGGGGGAGAGGGAAGGGAGAAGGGAAAGACTGGCAAGAGCTTGGGGGAGTGGGAGGGTGAAGATGGAGGAAGGATAGATATAGGAGCAGAGAAGACAATATCTACATTAAGGGAGCCATTTTAGGGCTGACGAGAGACTTGGCTCTAGAGGGGATCCCAGGTGTCCATGGGGATGTCCCCAGCTAGGTCCTTGGGCAGCAGAGGAGAGGGTGCCTGAACTGTCCTTGCCCCCACTATCACACTGATGATTATCTCGAATATCACCATAGAATCTTCGTCCTGTCCTGCGATGGATGGAGATAGAGACAGAGACCCTCATCAGAGCAATGGACTGAGTTCCCAAAGTCCAGTTGAAGGGCAGGAGGAGGGAGAGGATGAAAAAGGAAGTCTGGACCATGAGGGGTTGGTCCACCCACTGAGACAGTGTGCCTGATCTAATGGGAGCTCACCAAATCCAGCTGGACTGGGACTGAACGAGCATGTTTTGTGGAATCTTTTTTAAATAACATCAAAACGAAGGAAAACATTTAGAAATCAATGTCATTAACATTTCTGGGTACAAATGTCCAGCAGGGAATACATTGACAGAAAATCATAGACAGGGTGTCGGCAGGACTGACCAAAGTCGTCTCCCAAGTAGGCTGTTCAAGATACTGCCTGGTACCAGGTTAGGTCCTAACCATTTTCTCTATCAAAAGGCTTGGTTAGATGTAAAGAAAAGATTGGACTGCTTTAGCAGAACATTCATGATTGGCGTTACTATGTTCTGAGACCACATACCATGTGGATATGGCTATAGTACTGGTAACAGCCATGCGTGTACACAAAGTCGTCCTTCTCACCGTATGCACAGCAAGCAAGTCGCAAGGAACCTCTCTTTGTTTTATTTTACAATGTGACAAGTTTCAAGAGGAAGAAACTAAGGTATTGAACACCTTTGTGTGTCTGGCTATTTCATATAGCCCCTTCCAGACATGGTTTACAGGAGCTATGGTGCTACCAAGATCCATGGGTGTTCATGCTTTACCTAAAAATATTTGTGTATAGTGGGTATTCTTGTGTGCCATGTCCTATTACCATATGTGTGTAAGTGCTATGGAAATTTCTAATACTGTATTTAAGGAATAACAAATAAAAATCGGTATGAGTTTGATACACATTCTTCCTGGAGTTGGTTGGATCCTGACGTGGGGCCCACAGTTAGAACCCAGGGCATTGTCTCAAAGGACATGCTTTGAGGCCAACGCTGAACTAACTTCAAAGTCCATGGGACATTTTAAAGTTAGAGCTAAATTATACCCAACACTGAGACTTTAGACAGGAATGTTAAGTGAGCCAGAATTCTCTTGAAGCACACAATTGTGGAAATAGGTCACGTAGATACAACTTTGGGATGGAGGCATTAAATATGAAAGGAATCACTCAATGAAATGTCTTTTTCTATTCCGAGGTAGTCAAAAATTAAGGAGGAAGACTGGAGTCTACGGAACAGGCTGCTGTCACTGAACACTGAGTCTAGAGCTCTTTGCAATCCTGTTTTATTATAGTAAGCTTCACAGCAGGAGACCTGTGGAGCCTCTTCCTGTCCCATTTGTACGCCCTACCTGCTAGGTCAGTGTAGGCACCAACAGTGTTACTTTTGCTTTATTAGTGACTACAAATTCTTATTCCAAGGTAAGGCAAATATCTAGCTTGTAACCTTTCCATTAAATGTGATGAGCCTACACAATAAAAGTAATAAGTCTTCTCTTGTGGCATTAATCGAGACATTTGATCCAGCTGCTTTACCCTGGAAATACTCAACATCAGCTCAAGTTGACATGAAGATGTTTCCTCACTGCAAGCCAAAATCCAAGAACCACGGCCACTTTGTGTGGTCTTGAGTAGACAGGGTCAGTGAACTCTTATGAGTGTCCTGTGTCAATGTCAGGGGTGCTGTGATAAGGGTGAGCCCGGAACAAATAACAACAAGGTCATCATGCACCATTTCTAAGGAAGCCTTCAGGGCAAATGCCAGGCTGTATAGCTCTGGTCTTGAGTCTGTCAGCCTGTAATGATACAGACTAAATTAGTGCTACAGATAGCGGATGCTCCTGGGGTCAGGGGCCAGGACATGTGATGTTGGCCTGGTACCAGCCACATCCCCAAAAGTGCCTGTAGTGTATGAACTGGGTTGGTGCTGGGTAGCTTTACTGTTCACCTTGACCTGAAAGGGTCCTTGAGGTGGGGTTGTTATTCTCACTCAGAGCAGGTGAGGCGAGTCTTTCCAGAACAGCCATTTGCATTTTATACTCCGAACAGTGCACTGGCATGGGTGGATTTGTGGCAAGGTTGTCCTTGTCTCCACACATGGGTGAAGCCAACTGAGACACATAGATCAAGCTAGTTTCTTCCGTCGGGCTTTCTGCCAGGGACTTCATGTAGTCTTTCCCTAGAACATTTAGTAACTTGTCAGGTGGGGTCAATAGTCCAAGTTGAAGTGGTGTGTCTTTCAGGGGTCCTGGAACGAGGCCATGGGAACCAGCGTCAAAAGCTGACTGATCGTAAGTAAAATTCTCAAAGAAGACACAGGGCACGGGGTCAGAGGAACTGTTTTCTGTTGGCACAGAGAGAGGCTTACTGGGTACATCTTCAGCGTGTGCTTTCCCAGAGCCTATGAGCTGTGTCTTGGGGCCTTCTACCTTGTTTATGACTTCAAGGACGTCTGGAATGCAGTCTTTGACATGCATTATTAAGTGCGGGTTCTTCTGCAAAGGAATCAAGTATATGTAATATCAGTGCACTTGTGGGAGTAGCCAAATGGACCGTGTATGGCGTGTGCACCGAGAGCTTCCCCTTCCTTCCTGGTCACATGGTGTGACAACAGGCAGAGGATTCACCAGGACAGGACAGATTATTTCTATCCTAAGAGTGCTTGTCTGACTCCCAGTCGGATGAAGCCTTCCCCTCTCACCACTGGCTTCTAATAGCCCACGATGAACAAGACTCAATCACATTTGTTTGTTTGGCCTATGTTGGGAACAAAACAGGGCCTCACCCATGCTAGGCAAGCAAGCACTCTGTCACTGAACTAAACCCTCGTTCATCCAGCTGCCCGACTCATGGCTGTGTGTGTGTCTGTAATTTATTATCTTTTCCTGAAGAGGTATAAGAAAACTTGATCAGTGAAGCCCCAAACACAAAATTTGATCCTTCTCTCTCCCTCCCTCCCCCCCTCTTTCCCTCCCTCCCTCCCTTCCTCCCTCTCTCTCTCTCTCTCTTTGTCTGTCTGTCTCTCTCTCTCTCTCTCTCTCTCTCTCTCTCTCTCTCTCTCACACACACACACATTCACACTTTATTTTTAAGAGAATCTCACTATGTAGCATGGAAGGATTAGAACTAACTATATAACTATATAAACCAGACTGGCCTCAAACTCATAAGGATCCCCTTACCCTTAACCTCACAAAGGTAGGGATGGCAAACGGGTGTCCCCGTGCCTGGCTGGATTAGTCCTTCACATGTTACACGTACAGCATCCCGCATTTACCTTGGATTTTATCAGTGACAGGATGCTGCTCTTGTATGGATTCGGAATGTCAGGGTAGCACTTCTCCTTCACCCTAGAACAGTGAAATTCAGACTGGATGAGCAATTCAATGGAATTAGGAGTGAGAGCTCCGGAGTATCCTCTATGAAGCAAATGACTTAACCGTTCCTTGCTTTTATTACCGTATCCTGGGCTGCATGGACGTAACTACGGTACCTACAGCCTCACTGCAGGCACTCCATGGCTCATTCAGAGAAAGCATGTAGAAAGCTGCCAAGCATAAAGTGGCATAAATAGTAGCTACAGCCACAGAGGAACTTTTGAAGTGGTTCTTTTCCCTGCCTGCTGACCCCGAAGGCACTACTGTCAACTGAATTACAGACTCTCGCCTACATTTCTTTAGCCCCCCCCCCCCCCCTTTCATGGTTCTTTCCCCACATTTTCCCATATCATTCCTAGCTCACGGTTTACTTTTAGCTTTGGGATAAAGGCTTCCTCTGCACTTACCACTGGCTTTTCCAGTAGCACACAATGATGATGAGCACGACGCAGAGAGTCATGGGTAATATGATCTGCAGCAGCCTGTGGGCTAAAGAAGACAAAGGGAAGGAATCGTTTCCGCAAAGAATAAACGGTTATGAGTGTGAGGCCCTTTCCATGTTTACTGCTCCTTCAATATATGTATTTATGCAAGATTCAATATGAGTTTTGAAAATGGGTTTAACTCTGAAAAATCACTTCTCACAAATAAATAGGTCTTACTTATTAGACTGATAGAAATTTAACTGAGTGAAACTTAAAGGGAAAATTTATTCTGACTTCTGCCTGACTCAGAAGGAAAAAGACCAATTAAGATAGATATAGTGGTGCATACTTTAACACTCCTAACACCCAGGAGTTCAAAGTCACCTTCTACAACATAATAAGTTCAAGGCCAGCCTGGGCTGTATAAGACAAAAACCACTGCAGGGAGCCTTTTGCGGTCAGCCAGCGCTCCATAGTTTAAATTCATCAAGTCTGACCGAATAGAGCATGACTGCCCAGTCGCTCACTCCCCACCCTAGCTCTGTGGTAGGTTCCTGCCTGGGGGTTCAGCTGGTATGCTCATCAATGGATCAGAGCTGTGGTCCAGGCAGGAGCTGCATTATGCTTGCATAGTCATTCTCTTCTTTCACCATGGAAAGAACATGCCCAGGGTACTGCTGCCCTGTAACCAGAGTGTGCGTGACTTTATATGAACTATTCCTGCCTCAGACACAAGCCTGGAAGTCAGGGTGACCCAGACAGCCAAATCATGCTGATGCCAGACTCCTGATCAGAAGACCAATACTTGTTTGCCACTGAGGTTCTACGGCTGCTTATCATCCATTAAAAACTGGCTGAGTTCAGGAGGTCCTACCTTTTGATATTGTGACAACACTGTCACCTACACAGTTCATACTCAGGAACTATTTTTTTTTGAAGTTACCAAGAAAACCCGCACATTAAAAAGTCATAATATTTTAAGTAAATTGGGCTACATTTGGAAATGTCCTGGAGAACATATGCGTTGTGGAATACTTGAGATGTGTTACATTCGTTTATGCTGTGGGATATTAGTTTAATAATGCAAAGATGTGTTGCATTTTTTATGTTTGTATTTGTTTGACACTGTGAAGCTGTGTTACTTTGCCTGCTTAACACACCTGATTGGTTTAATAAAGAACTGAACAACCAACAGCAAGGCAGAAGAAAGGATAGGCTGGGCAAGCTGGGAGAGAGAATAAATAGGAGAGATAAAATTCCAAAGACAAGAGAAAGGGAGAAATGAGAAAAGGAGAGGAGGATACCAGGGGCCAGCCACCTATCCACACAGCCAACCAGAGAATAAGAAGGAAAGGAAGAGATGCAGAATAAGGAAAAGTAAAAGCCCAGAGGCCAAAGGTAGCTGGGATAATTTAAGTTGGAAAAGCTAGCTAGAAACAAGCCAAGCTAAGGCTGGGCATTCATAAATAAGATTAAATCTAAATGTATTTATTTGGGAGCTGTGTGGAGGGTTCCCAAAGAGTTAAAAAAAAAAAAAGAAAAAAAAAAAGAAAAACCAGCCAACTACACATGTGACTTGTGGGTTGCAGACTGGACATGGAGACGAGACTTCTAGTTAGTCTTACATTAAATTACTCGTGTTCATCTTAGCTTCCTTTAATAATCTGCTTTATTTCTCAAATGTATCCAACATGACTATTTTCTAAAATACTCTCCTTGTTTCAGTTCAACTAATCAGTCACTCAGCTACATGTAAACAAATTCCTGAGCAAATGACTAGGAAGGCTCTGAGGACAGTGTCCACGGACACATGGTCCTGTTCTATGTGTGGGCCTCTCCTGCCCTTCTCATTCCTCATCCGGGACTCACAGCATAAGAAAAAAATATCTTGGTTTGGGGACACTGGGTGTTGGTTTGGGGCATTGGGTGCTAGTTTGGGGATACTGGGTGTTGGTTTGGGGCATTGGGTGCTAGTTTGGGGATACTGGGTGTTGGTTTGGGTACTGGGTGTTGGGTAGAGACTGAGTTTTGGAAGGACTACTGCCCTGGGTAGAGACCCACACTATTGGGGTGCGGATACCTGCTCTCAAGACCAGCCCTTTAAGTGTTAACACTCAGTTTTAAAATTTGGTAAAAGTATGGATTTATGTATTTTTATTGGAGAATAAACAGAGCACAAGTATCTATTATCAGAAATGCTTGGAGCCAGAGATTTTTAGCATTTCAGATTGCTTTGAACTGGGGAATATTTACATATTCATGGTAAGATGTATGAAGAGAGTCTAATTACAAAACCCATACATCTGCATTGTGTAGCCTGAAGGTAATTTTATGCAGTATATTCAGTGTCCCATTACACGTGGCCAGAAGCTAAGTTTTCTTCTGTGGCATGCTTCCCTCAAAATGCTTTGATTTGGAATTTGAAATGTGGAATTTCAAATTTAACGTATTTAACCTGTGTGTGTGAGGAGGTAGGAGAGAAGAGAGAGAGAGAGAGAGAGAGAGAGAGAGAGAGAGAAGAGAAGAGAAGAGATAATGGATTAGATTTTTTTCTATTTGTTTCAGTTCAACTACTTTCAGGTCAGTTTTGAAAACAAACCTTCAGAACATAACCTCCTTCTATACTGAGGGCTGCAAAGGTGCTCGCAGACCTACATCCTGACAAGCAGACCTGAGTTCTAAGTGCTACAGAAGATGCAGCCCACGCACCCAGCCTGTAACAGCCGGGCTTCACAGCAGCTGCGCAGACTGCCCCTGGGCCCCCTCAGAATGGCCCTGGCTGTTGGAGCTGCGGCTTGTGCCACCATCCAGCATTTCACCAGCCTAGGAAAAAGATCAAAACGCAAGGAACACCTTCTTCTGAGTTTGTCCTACTTCTACACCTCATCAACCCAAAGGAATCTTAAGTGGAGCCATCATTTGGTAGGGAAACACCTGAAGCCAGTGTGCTTGTTAAATCCAGAGCAAACATAGTTCCAATGTCCAGAAGCAGAGGCAGAAAGATAGCAGACCCGGGAGGTCTCGAAGCAGGCTTCCTGACCTCTCTGTCTTTATTTAGTAAACTAGCCATTGTTCAAAGAGAAAGTACCAACTCACAAAGAAAGGGTCCTGTTGTTAAAAGATACCACAAAATGAGCAAAACTGCTACGCAATTTCAGCAGTGCATTTTAAAAGTGGTTTTGTTCATTTTTATTGTTTCGACAAACCAGTCGCCTCCTAGCAAATGTAAATTTTTCCCATTCCCATTTAACAAGGACTGAGGTGCAGTTAGCAGAATCATATAACATTCTGTTTTAAAATGTACAAAGTGTCTGTCAGGGAAGTTGTGAATAACTGAAATACTTTCTTATTAATAACAATCAATATCACTAATAAAGCTAAGGTCATAAGGCTTACCACAGAAATTAATAAAATCTTGAAAATATAAAATTATCAGTTTGTGTGCACGTGTATGCACATGTGTGTGCACAAATCAAATAAATTCAAAGTGTGGAAGAAAAATTAATACAGAAAAAAATTAAAACACTAAGAGTTGGTCATGGCAAAGCATGCCCACAATTCCAGCACTGGGAAGGCGGAGACAGGAGGACCATGAATTCAAGTTCATCCTTAGCTATGTAGCCTGGGCTACATGATACCCCAATCTCAAAAACAAACAAACGAACAAAATCAAAACAACAACAACAACAAAAAAAAATCACCTCTTCCTTCAATGAAATTACTTCAAAGTGACAACAGTGCTCATATACTGTAAACCATTGACTCAAATCTTAATCTGATAGGTTTGGAGACAACAGATCATGTTTTAGTCTCTCAGGCAGTTATCACTACCATCTGCAGCTGCAGCTGTGTGTGCCTGTGACACCAATCAGGGCATCCCAGGCCTACCGTCGTAAACTAGTGTGGCCGTCCCATCTGAACAACTTGGGTTTCAGTGACTGGATGTTGCGTGGAGGATGCTGGGAATTTCCAGCTTGAACCTATCTCGTTCCTAAGACTAGTGTCTTCAAGGCCTCTTGGGCCTGCTCTTCTGTGGATTCTTTAGTGGAACCCCACCCCCACCCTGCCAGCACACACACTCGTCAAAAGCTCCAGATCCTGCTGGCAACTGCGGTGCAGTCAGAGGGAGCCTAGAAGCGCCTCCGGCGAGACTTCCCTTCATCCCGAAGGACCCCTCAAAGGTGGTCTTGATTTCACACCCGAAAAGAATTTCAGCACGAGCCAATTGAAGCAGAGTTGAAGCTTTTCCGGTGTCTTTATTATCGACTTTAAGCGTTGGGATGAAAAGAAAGAAAGGCATTCAGGAAGAAAGTAAGAGACTCTCCAGAATGTTGGTGTGGGCTTCTCTAAGGAGAGTCATCCCAAGACATTCTCCCCTGAGTCCTCTATCATATATACTCTGTCCCCACCTTCTGTCAGTGCTTGCCAGAGACTGAGATGGAAATGCAGCTCCTTCCATGTCCCTTCCTCTTTCCTTCCTGTACCTCTCAAGTCAAATGCATTTTAGTTAGAAGAACATATCTCTTCACTTGACCCCTTCCCCAACAGAATTCACTACCACAGAGCTGGTGATGTACCAGCCCCATCTACCGCCAGACTCGAGCTACCCTTAGACCCTAGAAGAGCAAAAAGCCACCAGTCAGTCCAGAAAACCAGGCAGAAGCAAGGCTGAAGCAGGAGGCAGCCCACGACCAGCCATGTTGAGGAGAGAAGCTGTCAGATCTCCTGATGTCAACTCTAAAATATACTGTGATTTTCAAGTCACCCTGAGACTGACTCCTAGAGACAGACATCCTGGGTCAACGAGAAAGATGAGAAGAAGGTTCTAGATCATAATTGGTCAGGTTACTGCCGCTTTTCCCAGGGGTTTGGAACAGGGGTTCTAAATAACACTTACGTGTGGAGGAGGAAGGGTTGGGGAGAAGAAATTATTGAAACTTGATCTAGACAACACATGGGAACTCAATCTTGAGGGAAACATTTGATTTGGAGAAACTCACAGTTCTCATCCGGAGTTGTGACCCGTGCAAATGTTTCATTGGGACCCAGGCCAGCACTGGTGTATGGAACGACCAAATACTCATAGGTGGATTCTGGCCGAAGGTTTTCCACCGTGAATGTCTTCTGCTCGGGGTCTTCAATGTCATATTCACAGAGCACTGACTTATCTGTGATTGAAAAGCAGTGTTGTTATCAACAAAATCTTATGAAGAGTGTAGGAGAGGGCCTGTGTGTGGTCAATTAGTGGAGTGTTTGCGTAGCATGCATGGGCCCTGCGTTTAATCCCCAACACCACCCACACTGGACAGGAAGACACAGGTCTGTGATCCCAGCAGGAAGGGCAGTTCAAGGTCATCTTCAGTTACGTAGTGAGTTCAAGCCAGTCTGGGATAAATGGAACCCTAACTTATTATGAAAAAGAGGGAAAAGCATATGGCAGAGACCTCATAGGAGAGCTGGGCACAGATGCCCCAGCTGTCTTGGAACCATCAGCATTTTTAAACCAAACTCTTGTAGGGATATTTCATTTGTATTTTAATAAATAAAGCTCGCCTGAAGATCAGAGAATACAACAGCTGCATTGATCAGCCATACAGACCAGGCAGTGGTGGCACACACCCTTAATCCCAGCAGCTAAACTAGTTTGTCATAGAAACCAGATGGTAGTGGTGTATGCCATTAATCCCAGCACTAGATTGGAATGTAAGACCGGAGGAGACAGGTTTCAGGCTCAGTCTCATTCTGGGATTCCTGGAGGCAGGATCGCTATTTCAAACCGAGGTAGAGGTAAGAGCCAGTGACTGACTGCTTTGCTTTTCTGGTCTTTAGGTTGAACCCCAATATCTGTTTCTGGGTTTTTATTATTCATGCTACATTTGGTGCCCAACATTTGGGGTATGACTTCATGAAAAAGCCATTTGCCTGAGGCTTTTTAGCTACACAGGCCAGAACTGGACCAAAACCTAGAAACCTGGGTTCAGGAGAGAAACTAGCACCCCACCCATCTGCTCACAACTTCCTGTTCACCCACCCCAGCTTTCTGTGGTTGGCTCCCATGGTTCCAGCGGCTTGCTGCTAACCCCTCGTGTGGCTACCACATGCAGCTACTGCCGCTTCCCATGGCTACTGTGCCCATGCGCACCTACTGCCTGGCCACCCTGACCACATTTGACCCTGTTCATCTCCAAAGAAACACACAGAGGCTTATAGTTGACCTATTAGCTCAGGCTTATTATTAACTAGCTCTTATACTTTAAGTTAACCCATAATTCTTGTCTATGTTTAGTCATGTGGCTTGGTACCTTTGTTCAGTAAGGCATTCTTATCTTTCTTCCTCTGTTTTTAGATAATAACTCATCTCTGCCTATCCTGTACCCAAGATTCTCAGTCTCTTCCTATACTCACACCCCCCTTTGTTTGCCTATTGATTCTAAAATGACATGGGGAGAACATGGCCTGGTCCCTAGCTTGGTCACTATCTTAGCCCGGTCACATGAGGGCTCTGATTCGGCATCAATTTCATTGCTTTCTGAACAGTGCGATGAGCCTAGGTGAACAAGAGCAAGCATTACCTGAAAGAATCGTCCTTCTCCCTTTTGGATGACACTGCATGTCCTTGGATTTCAAGTACACACGGTAGCCTTCTATAAATGCAGACTGGAAATCGCTGGCATAAGCCGGCCAGTTCAGAATGAAGGAATTGGAGGTGGTGTTACTAACGCTCACTTGTGGGTTCTCCAGAGGAGCTAGGAAAGGAAGATGGGATAAGAACACGTTATGATTTGGGGTCTCAGAGCATGTATGTAAACTAAACAGACCACAGGCAGTTCTGGACACTAAGAGCTTGTGTCAAGTTAAAGAGTCTTGTCTTCCCCCCATAATAAACACAGACATGGTTAAGAGAACTGGGAAGGAGTTGGGTAATTGTCTCCTTCAAACCTTTCATAAATACCCAGAGAGAGTAAATAATTTGTAGAGACGTCATGGGAGAGGGGAGGGAAAATAAAGGTCTTGACTCTGTCCGTGAAGTCTCAACAGTATTTTCTGAATCAGAGAATGTACAGATATGAAGAGGAAGGAACAGGAGAGACAAGATGGGTTCAAAGATGTGAGGGGGATTTGAAGAATCCGGTTATCAGGACAAGGCAACGCATGTTATCAGACACTCTGAAAATGCACGGGGTGAATCCTGGCCCTGTCACTCACGTGACCACACACACATATATGCACACACGCACGTACACACACACATACACACACATACATGCACACACGCACACTTGCACACACACATATGCACGCATGCACATTTTCGCATACTGTCTGAACAGAGATACATTCACAAATGTCATGCCTCCTCCTTTTCTCTCCACCAGTCGTGAATACTGGATCAGCTCTCCCAAATGAAAAATTTTAGAGTCAGTCTAATTGCTGAGACAACCAAAATCTTCAGCGTCCAGAGACTTGAATGCCAAGCATTCCAGTGGGGAGAGTGAGCAGCCTCATTCTGGTGGTAAGATGGAGTAATACTCAGAGAAACTGATTTCACAGCAATTCTACAAGAAATGAGAAGCTTATTTCAGAAGCCTAAGTCCTTTGACCCCAGGATTCTGTTTCTAGGATTCATTTAAAAACCATCATTGCCGGCATGAGGTGATACCTCACTTGCTAAGTGTTTGCCTTTTAAGCATGAGAGCCTGAGTTTGAACACATGAAAAAAGCTGAGAGTGGTGGTGTTTGCTTGAAAGCCCAGGATGTGTAGGAGGGGAGACAGGTTGATGCCTGGGGCTTGCTGGCCAGTCAGTGTAGCCTACTTGATGAGCTCGGGGCCAGCGAGAGATAGATGCAAAAAGCTTGGTATATGGCACCCGAAGAATGATAGAGGCACTGTTTGGCCTCCACTTGATCTGTATCTGCACACATGTGCACACACACGCACACATGCACACACGTAAGTACACACACTTATGGATATAGGCAAAGACTTAGCTAAAATGAAAGCAATTCAGATTGGCACAAAAGTATGGACACAAAAAGAAAGGTTTACAACTTGGAGCTACAAGATGTTTGGAGATAAAATTTACAGTTTCTCAATGAAAAATCTCTGTAATCATCCTAAATTGTCTGATGATACACCTATGATATACCTGCGTATGACGTGGCATACGCAGAGAGGGTTTACTTTCCAATCACAGAAGGAGCACTGTGGGCAGTTAGTATTTTGTGGCGTTAATCAAGAAAAGCAGTTAACAGACTTTGTAGAGTGAGATCCCATTTTTATTTAAAAGCATTTATCCATATAGAGAAGTAGGTATCAGTGTATAATAAAATACTAAGTGGATATTGGCCTTTTGGGTGTTAAAATTAGCAATAATTACATCGTCTTTCATGTAGCATTTCATAAATCACCTTTAATAAAGATGTTTCATTTATAGGGTTTTAAAAATTTAATGTAATTTCTAAAATAAGTGGGACCATAAAATTAAGCTTGGGGAGGGAGTCTTCCAAACACAAAGCTACGAGTAGGTGGATGGCTCAGAACAAGGAAGTCTCCACAAGGCCTGCAAACGCTGTCTACTTACCCTGTTCCTGCGTGTATCCTGTTTGTCTCCCTATTAGCTGGGCATCGTGTTGCAAAGATCTTTCAAAAATTCTGAAGTTGTAACGGACCCCTGGTTTAAAAGCATCTGGAGGAGAGAAGTCAAGGATTTTAACAAGACAGAATGACGTCATCTGAGTTGGGAAGAAAGGCTGACCACTGAGTGAGCACTCCTCCAGTGGAAAGGATGACCACTGAGTGAGCACTCCTCTAGTAGTTTCTTTTTCAAGATCTTTCCTATTTCCCTCCTTCTACTAGGCCTCAGAATCTTCCATGTTGTGAACACAGTGCTGTCTGGAAAGTTCCATAAGACTGTCATTCACTCTGGAGCCAGGACCCTCAGCCTGGCCTCACCTATGCGCATAGAAGTGGTGCAGAAGCAGCCAGACTCACCACCTACTCCAACATTTGACATAGAAAGTCCATACAGTATTTACCTGCCGTCCTCCCGCTAAAACTCAGAATCTGGAAAGCCTGCCTTTCCCTTCCGTTCTTCCTCTTTCCCCTGTAACCCTGAAGTCTGGCTGCAAAGTTCTTGAGCCCCTGAATCTTGCAGGTGACTCCACCACTTTCTGGAACTAGACGATTCCCACATCAGCCCTCAGCCTAATAGATGGTACACACCTATGCCTCCTGCTTATACCACTCACTGGAGCAACCTTGACTCCCCTGAAAGAGCAGGAATCTTCAAGCTACAGATTTGGTAAGGGAGGTAAGCGTTCATGCCTACAAGCTTCTTGAAACTAAAAGCTGATACTTTGGTTGCATCAACTTTGTACCCTAAACATGGCCCAAGTATGTGCTGTTCTCTGCATCTGTAGAAACTTCCTGCACACAGTTCCAATGTCCCTCTAATTTAGAAGGGCAAAATATTAAAATCTATACTCTGTCTACATTTTCATACTCTGCTGCAGTAGACTTTCAGATCAAAGGTCAGAACCTATTCTCATGACATCTAATCTCCAAAGCAACCACTCTGGATCTGTCATTTCAAAGTTTTTAGCCTAGTGTACCATATCTGTAGGTTAGAACAGAAGTCTGAGTTTAACTGGCTGCAAGGGGGACATGCAAGCAGGAGGGCTGAGTTCTCACCTGAGGTGACCGTGGTGCTCGTGGTATTGAGACCGAGCTTCTTCCACTGCAAGTCACAGTGCCGGTCCCGGGAATGTTCACACCAGTCCACAACATAGCCTAAAGCATCTCCAGATGAGGGCTCCCAAGAAATATGGAATCCATCCTTTGTGCCTTCAATCCTTTTTTCACGGACCTCTTCTGTAGAGAAACAAATAGAATAATACTTCTTATTCTGCTCACTGGGTTTCTTTGACAACTTCCAAGGAAGAAAATAAACTAACAAACACTTGCAATGTTTTTTTTTTTATAGTTTTGGTTTAAAATGTCTCTTAAAGGCTTCCGTACCTAAAACTTTGGTCCCCAGATTCTGGCACTGTCTGGAAGTAGGGAAACCTTTCAGATGTCAATAGTGGAAGATGGAAGTTTGATCACTGGGCATGCTATAAAAGGAGATATTGGTACTCTGGTTCTAACATCTTTTTGCTTCAAGGGCACCTTGAGGTGAGCTGCTTTTGCTCTACTGGAAGCTAACTACCATGAAATCTCTGCAACCCAAAAGCACCAAGCTAACCAACCACGATATCCGTCTCTCCAACTATGAACTTGAACCAACTTTATCTTCGTAAAGGTTGTGTCCCCCAGGTACTTTGTCCTAACCATGGGAGGTTGACTCAGTATCTCAGAAGTGAGAGCCTCTAATTGCTGCACAGGATTGAGGGCAGGTGTTCCTCACTATTTCCATTCTTCAAATCACATTTGCAGCTCTAGGACACAGCATGTTAGTGTTAGGACCCTAGGTTTGGAATGTCTGCTCTAAATGGTTCATTTGTAATATATTTGTGTGGCTCATCTTCAAAGGTCCTCCAGCAAGCTTAGGCACAACTACAATGAACAGAAAACACTGGAACATTGCTGACAGCTGGCTGAAGACAGCCCTCCCTGCCACCGGCCAAATGAAAAGCATAGAGCCCAAATTACTAAGAGCCAAGCTTGCCTGGTACATTTTAAATGAACAGTATATAAAACATCCGGATGAATCCAGTACAGATTTTGTTGGCAAAATGACAGAGGGAAAAGTAAGACCCGGATGGACGTGTAGGGTCGCATTCTCCTGCTTGTTCAGCAGAAGAGAAGACTTGTATTAGGTTAACAAAAACTGTTTTGCAGGCTCCATCAATGGCTGTTCTGGGTTCACACCTGGTTTTGTAAAGTCCTGAAATAAACTGCCTTGTTCCCACCATTCTGAGTTTTCAGTGCTCCTCTTACCAAGCACTTTTCTCATGTCTATGCATAAGCAAAGGGGAAATGTCAGTTGCAGTGTGAGATGGATTGGTTTCTTTGATGGAGGAAGGCGAGGAAGCCATGTGGGTCAACTTTGACTGGGAGCCAACACCCCAAGGAAACCATCTCAATGACCTTTACCTTGTACCTAGAGCTGTACACCCTGCCGGGTGGGGGCTCCTGCTATGTAACAATGTCATGGCCCAGAAAGATGAACAGCACCTTAGTGTCATGCCAATGTTAACTGGTCATTAGAACTGCCGGGTGACACAGGACACCCAGAGACTCTGAACTGCAGGCTTTAGTGGGATTCTGTGAAAATGGTGAAGTTCTTCAGCCTCTGGGCCAAAGTGCGGACCTACTCCAAAGCAATAGAATTGACTTCACACAGGACAGTTCTCTTTAAAATTAAGACACCTTCTGATCTGGTTCACTTAGCTTAAATTTAAACTGAATCAAAATGGAACCACACAATCTTTCATGGCCTCACCAACCTGGCACCTTTAACAGCAAGAACTGAAGGATGGCATTGTTGCAAGGTACATGAATGATCTCAGCGTTTCAGTTCCTTTTGCCTTTTGTCCACATGTGCACTGTATCACAGCAGGGAACTGGGGATTTGCTATGCCAGGATTTTTCTGCGGCTCGGTCAAGAAGGACATTGCTGTCATTCTTGGGTTTAGATGTGCGATCACTTCCCAGTGGCTCATTCTTCAGTTGGCCGAGAGATTGGTAGCTAATCATCTGTTGCTATTCTACAAACTTGGCCAAATTACAGTGTCTCATGGAAGAGTACATCTGCTCTCCTTAGGGTGTCCGTGGGCTCCTTTTCCCCACCATAGTTCTCCCTCAAGGTTGTCTCACTATGTAGTACAGGCTGGCCTCAAACTCATGAACCTCCTGCCTCAGCCTCCTGAGCGTTGTGAATACAGGCATGCTCTATCAGCATGGCAGTTCTAAAACAGTGGAAGATATTTGTTTTGTTTTTTTGTTTTTTTTGGATTTTTCGAGACAGGGTTTCTCTGCAGCTTTTTGGTTCCTGTCCTGGAACTAGCTCTTGTAGACCAGGCTGGCCTCGAACTCACAGAGATCCACCTGCCTCTGCTTCCCGAGTGCTGGGATTAAAGGGCATGTGCCACCACCGCCCGGCCGGAAGATATTTGTTAACACGCAGAAAATATGGTGCAAATCCCATAAGTCACAAATCCCTGGGCACTGTCTTAGCTCTCAGAGAGGACTGCTGTGGGATTTACACAAATGAATTTTAGATCATCTCTTAAGTGCTCAGAAGCATCCAGGGAGAGAGTGGGCTGGGTCACTGTGAAGACACCGTTACATTTCAACCTGTGCTTACACCCAGCTTCAAAGGAAGTGCCTAACTGCACATGGTTGCCTCAAGTTATGGTTTTATTTATGTAATATGTCACTACCTGGAAATATCTCCAATATTTTCCTTGAGAATGGAAGCCAAGTTGACCAATGCCGACTCACCATGTCCAGAATCGTTAGAGAGGACCATCACTGACTCAGGCGACGCACCCACGCTGTTGTTGGCTGTGAGGTGAATCTTGTAAGAACTCAGGTCAAGGCTCAGTTGTGTGCCAAGGGCTGGTGCCTCAACACGGTAGTGCTTTGACTCAGTTGGTCTATCTTGATTTTCTACAACTATATCATAGAATACGATTTTGCCATTGGCCTGTGATTTTAATAGTGGCTGAAAAAAACGATAATCCTTTTAAAATGAGCTTCACTCTGAAATTACTCTATTATTACTTTTTCGTATCTTCCATCCATCAGCTGCCCAGTCCACATATACCTAAGAACATATCCACTCATGCACATGCCTATGTGTGCACACACATGCACAGACACATATTAGTAAGTCACACATATAAAGATATTAGAACAAATGCAGTTTGCACATTTAAACAGAGACATTGTCTCAACACCAAGCTTAGAATCAGGCCTTTCAATCTAACTAAAGAAAACAGAGACAAAAATCATTTAGAGATGATATTAAAAAGTTATTGTATGTCCAGATAGCAGGGACTGAGTCAAAAGTCAAGAGGAATATAGACTCCTTAGATCTGGAGGAAATAAAATTTGGAAGTCACCTTAGAGAAGATGCAGTAGTGGAACCAGCACCCAGGGTCCTTGTAAGAAAAGCCTGCATTCTGGCCTCCCTGTACCTAGTCTTTTCTCACCCTGACCCCTGCCACCTACCATAGACTCCCTCTTTTAGAAGACACTCATGGTTACAGAGAAGTCCTTGCCTTTACAGTCCCAGGCCAGCATCTGTCAGTGGTTCCTGAGGTCTGCTTTCCCTGGGACAGTCTGTGTCCTGCTCTGTGTACCCCAGATCTCAGATCAAGCTGCAGCTGTCCCCTTAGGGGTATGGAGAGAACTCAGACATAGGTTTAGCAGAGTCATACCTGTATATGCAGAGGCCCGGAAAACTGTGCCCAACTCAAGGGCAGAAGAAAAGCTGAAGGGGTTGTGACAAGGGACCAACCGTCTCCTTATCACCATGTTTTGGTATGAGACACCGAGGAATCTCAGAGCCCTGAATGCAAAGCTGACCTTCCAGGTTGTCATGCAGTATATTGGGTCAGGCAGAAGGATAATGCTGATCTTCCATTATAAATCAATAGCTTGATTTGTAACTATGGTATTTACATACAATTAGGAGTAGGGTATGTGACTCTAGGCATAGTTCCTCGTCTTGATTCTTGGAAACGTTATAGTGGGCCTGAGTTGAATATACAGAAAAGGTTCTAGCAGTCCTTCTACCTGATGACCAGCCCCGTGAGACTGACATCACCGTTTCTTCCAGCTGGGGTTACACTGCTGTGCAGCGGCCACAAGTCGCTCCTGAAGCTGCACACCTTACCTTCCAGAACAAGGTCACAACATGACTTCCATTCTCTGACCGAATGTGTCTCCACGCATCAGGAGCCTGTGAGGGAGCTGAAATTAAGCAAAGAAAAGTCCCCGGGTCATATCCGTGCCATGTTTCCCCTGTTCTTCTAACACAGTGGTTCTCAACCTTTCAAGTACTACGCAAGCCCTGTGGGGGTCTGTAGGGATAAGTCCCACCCCTAAGGGGGCTCGGGCTAAGGTTTGCCTATAAATTTGGCGAGCGTGCTCCCAGTCGCTGCTTCTGCTTTCCTGGTCTCCACGGGAACAGTGGTTCTGTAAGTCTATTTCTCCATTAAAGCTGTATATATATTTTTAAAATCTGTCTGCATTCGTTTACGCCATTACAGGGGTCTTGATCCACACATTGAGAGCTGCTCTTCTAAGACATGGCTGTTACCTGTCTTCTCTGGGGCTTGCTAGTCAACCCTCTCCCTTTCTGTGACTTCCGCCCATGGGTCCACAGCCATACTGCACAATAAGCACTCATAGGGTGGGCTTTAAATATTCTCACTGTCTCTATTCATTGCACATGATACCATGATACACTGAGAACATTTCTGTGTAAGTTTATAGTAGGTGCTCTAAAATTAAAGGTCAATTGCCCTTGGATGCAATTCCAAACTTGAAACTTACAAGTCGGCTCCAGAGCATCTGGAAGCCACCAAAGAATTTTTCATTGTCACGTGCAAGGCTAAGACAGAGACACACTGACCTAGGTCTCTGGGGACGCAAAGCCCAGGGTTTCTGGTTGGCTTTCAGGATGTCCTCCAGCTGCCCCTCACTAGAGTCACAACCTGGAAATGCTTCTTTGTTCCTGATCCTGCCAACTGTCTCCTGTGGACGCACAGGGAACCTCATGCCCGGTCCTCAAGTCATGGCACCAAGTACTGCTTCCAAGAGTCCACTTTATGGTCCCTCTGCAAATAAACTAGAAGATGGAATCACAGCAGCCAGGTCTTGGCTCATCTGACTTTGAAACCCTAGCATCAGGCTCTGGGCCTAGGCCTTAGGGTGAGCTCCAGAAACACTGCTTGAAGAGTGAGCAGTGGACTAGAAGCCCAGAAAGCAATCTGCTCAGAAGTCACAGTCTCTTCTCTCTGTACTTCATTTAGAAATTTATGTAAACTGAGAATTGATTCGCACTACACCTGTACTTAATCCATTGATTATAGAAGGAGGAATCACCCTCTTTTCATATCTGTTTGTCTATCTATCTATCTATCTATCTATCTATCTATCTATCTATCTTTCTATCTATCTTGTATCATCTATCCATCTTCTATGTATTTATCTATCTTCAATCTGTCTATCTTCTATCATCTATGTATGTATGTATGTATCTATCTATCTATCTATCTATCTATCTATCCATCCGTCTCTCTATCTTGCGTCATTCATCCATCTTCTATGTATTTATCTATCTTCAATCTGTCTATCTTCTATCATCTATGTATCTATCATCTATGTATCTATGTATCTATGTATCTATCTATCTATCTCATATCTATCCATCTTCTATGTATTTATCTATCTTCAATCTGTCCATCTTCTATCATCTATGTATCTATGTATCTATGTATCTATGTATCTATCTATCTATCTATCTATCTATCTATCTATCCATTTGTCTATCTTGCATCATTTATCCATCTTCTATGTATTTATCTATCTTCAATCTGTCTGTCTTCTATCATCTATCTATCTATCTATCTATCTATCTATCTATCTATGTATGTATCTATCTATCAGTCATCTATCTGTATATTTTTTTTAGTGCTAGAGATTGAACCCAGGTCCTTGAGCATTCTAGGCAAGAGTTATACTACTGAGCTATACTCCCCCAGTCAGATGAACCAGTGTCTTAACCCAAGAACACTCTGGGTACTTCCCTTTAAAACTATTTGGGGGCAGATTTAATGTACATAAAACAGTAGGTAAATGCATAGAAAGGTAACTAGGTGTCATGCCCACTCCAACTATTTTATATACATTTGCTCATCTGATTTCCTGTAGTGTAGGCGTTCTTATTCACTCCATTCTCCCAATAAGGGAAATGAGGATCAGAGAGACTAAGCTAAGTGCTCAAAATCTGCAGAAACGGGGGTGAAGCCACTGGAACTTATGACTGACAGGTTCTCAGCCATGCCATTATTCAAGAAACTGATGGTCACTTTCAGGCTTAAGTCACAGGCCTGAGTTCAACAAAGATGCTCATAAGCATGTCTTTAGATAGAAAATAATAACACCGATGTGATAAACTTTAAAGCTTTAACGAAATGCATCTTTGTTGCCTTTTACTTTTACGCACGCTTCTAATTCATGTACCTGCACATGTGACCTTTGTGAGCAGAACTTTGTATGTATAATCTGTGTTTACTTGTAACTCTCTGGTTATATACTGCTTATATCTGTGGATTCAAGTTACTGAAGTGAATACCAATAAAAAAAAACTAGGCCATGTTGGTTGGTTGGTTGAACATGTTTGGAATGTTAACCAAAAAAAAAAAAAAAATGGATGGAAGTGCTACCAAGATGGCTATGTAGTTTTTAGTTCCCAGTTCATTTTGCTTGAGACTTGCGTCACACTGTGTATTCTACAAAGAACCAAAATTTCCGTTGTGTTTTTGTGGTCATACTTGGACATAAATGGGAGAACTGACCAATTATAATCAAAGAGAACATGCAGGCTTCCTCCGCTACAAGGGCTGCCAGGATATTGGCAGGATACAAGGGCTGAGAGCAGATATTGGCCCTTGGCATCTTTTTAGCTCGTTCATGGAGACTCATAGGTATGGGTGGCTCCGTTCTCCAGTGAGGCCTTAAAGGCACAATTCATACTCAAATGCGTTCTCAAGACATCTTTACAATTAGCCTGTGAATGGGCTGGAATCCAATCTCAGCTGAGTTGGGAAGGAAAACTACAGCTACTCTCATTGAATATCAACTTTTTCAAGGAAATTCTTCCTCAACCTTTTGTCTATGTGTAACATGGTCGTGTTACATCAATTGTCACACATTCATAAATTTTAGCAAAATGAAGCTGTTTCATCTTCTTTATGTTCTTTATTTTTATGTTTGAGGGGACAGTGATGTGATGCAAAATATCTTTATGAAAGAAGGGCCATAATGGGACACAGAACACAAAAAAATCTATCTCTATTAGAAAACAATGGTTGACTGCAATCAGCAATCAGATCATTGTCTCATTTACTTCCTGATACTTCATACAAAACTTCAAGATAAGATCCATATTCAAATCCAGTGTGAGACCAGGAATAGCAATGAAACTACTTGAGAAAGCGTACACTAGAAATAACATTGTTATCAAATGCCTTTGCTCTTTACGCATTTAATCTAGTTTTAGAGTATGACTTTCCCTTTCCTTCAATACTTTCTCAGCATTCGGTACAAATGAGAGAGCTGAATGAAGTTGACCCAAGCATATCATGAGATTTAGTCTGTGAGTTCTATGCCAGGGAGCCCCACGTACCAGCCTCGGGTGTGGTGAACTCCTTTTGAGCCCAGTCACTCCATTTCCAGAAGTGGTTGGCATCCGCACAGCGCACACGAGCCTTGTACTCTGTGTCTGGCTCCAGATCACTGAAGAGGTAGTTCCCACTCACGTGGACAGAAACATTGTGTGCCTGCATCAAGAAGACAAGGGAAAAACAAAGGCTATGTGTGCATTTGTGTTGCAAAGCCAAATCAGAAGGGTGGCATCTCTGCTTTGGAGCAAGACTGGGTCTTCTTCAAGGTGAAGGCTTTTTTCCCATTTCATGACCCCTTTCAACAGATAATCCACACTATGAACTAATGTTGAAATAAAGGCCTGACTGATTGATTTTTCTTATTTTTAGGATGTTCTTTTTCGCCTTGGGTAAGGTCTTGTAATGTAGCCCTGGCTAGCGCGGAACTCACTGTATACATTAGGCTGGCCTCCAACTTTTAGTAATCCTCCTGCCTCTGTCTCTGAAAGCTAAGATTACAGGTGTGCCCAGTATGTTTGGCCTGAAATAAGACATGTTTGTTTGTATTTTGGCTGTTCTCACAGATAGAGTCTCATTATGTAAACTAAAGCTAGCTTCAAACTTGTGATCTCCCAGTTAGCCTCCTGAATGCTAGGATTCCAGGTGTGTGACACCCAAGGTTAAAAATTTTTTAAAACAGGAAATAATGGAGTGTTCTTACGTGTATCACTTCTCTTTCGTGCTGGAGTTCAAGCTGACACAGGAGCATGTAGTTGTCCCCATGGGAGTACACCTTCCAGGTCATGTTGGCTTCTGTAGCACTTAGTGTTTCAAAGGTGACATCATGGGGAGGCTTTTGATGAACTGTTAACAAGAGAAAAAGGAACAAACAAAAAAAGAGAATTCAAGCAGATCGAAACCAGAGTTCAATAAGCAGGCAATTCATTTCATCTCTAGTCTGGTCACCAGTACTTTTTGTTTATGTTTAAGAAAAGAGAAACAGCGCTGGGCTTGCTGACAGAATGTAGTGCGTCCAGTATGCAATCCTTTTCACTCACTAATGGCCTTATGTATGTTATATTGTAGTAGACATGGAGGTAAAATACAAAAAGTAACTATGTGTAGACTCTTAAAATTAAATATGATCAGTAAGGTTATGGAGGAAGAGTCAAAATTTAAAGAAGACAGCCAATGGAGGAAGGTTATAATGCAGCCTGAATCTAACTAAAATAATATTAACAGTGTCAAGGAAACAACCCTAAACAATCCAATCTACAAAACATCCCAGAGTGATATCACCAAATTGCCAAGGGAAACGATCATCAACAGATGTCGCCAGTGACCTATAGGATACATCTGCTACACAAGAGCTTGAAACTGGTCCATGAGCCAGGGCCAAACAGATGAAATGCGTAGACGGAGAACAGTTCTCAGCAGAGAAACTGAAACTAATAAGGGGGGAAAGGAAGGGGGAAGAGTGTGCAGATTGAAAGGCAAACTAGATAGTTACTGCAGAAAGGAAATAAAGAATTAATTTAAAGTTTTAGAGCTGGAAAGTACAGTATGGAAAAAGACCAAACTACATGTTGCGGTGATGGTTACATGGTCTGTCCCTGCCTTCCTTTCTTACTATATGAGGATAGGGGTGGGAACTGGGGCTGGGGCTGAAAACTGCCCCGATGGTCTATTTGCCACAGGGAAGAGTGATTAATTACAATTCTCTGGGGTTTCTCGGTCTCTATCCTCAGATTTTTCTCACTTTCGGATTTGAGCTACACATAGTTTAAAGTAACAGACAATTTTGGCTAAAGAAGGACAGAGAGAGAGGTTCTAGAATAGACTGTGCAGTAAGTATACGTCGGAATGCTAGTTTTCAAGTTTGTTAGAGAGCTCAGTGAGACTTGAGATAAGATCAAAACAGGAGCTTGAGAACGCACGCATCCATGAGGGTAAGTGTGAGCGAATAGAAGTACAGGGGTTTGATCAGGGGTGTCTTTCTGTATGCTGCAAACGTGTGTTGTTTATATTGGTTGATGATGGCAGAAAATAGATAGGCAGGAAATCAAAACAAAGATGCGGAGAAAAGGAAGGCTGAGTCAAAGAGATGTCATGTAGCCACCAGAGAAGAGAGACGCCAGCAGCAGCTTAAGGAGAAACATGCCAGAGGTAACGGCACAGCCTTGTGGTGATATATGGGGGCAGTAGAAGTGGTTTAATTTATAAGAGAGAGTTAGGCAAAAATAGCCTGAGCTATTGGCCAAATATAATTAATTAAATTACAATTAATATTAGGCTCTGAGTGGTTATCTTATAAGCAACTGTAGGACTTGCAGGCAGAGAGAAACAGGTCCAGTGTGACCGCGCGAGACAGAAAAAAGTCTCCCTTTACAAAACTTAGCTTTCCAATGGTTGTGAACTAGACCAGGGTCTACAATGTACTCACTGGGTCTCGCTGTATAAAATACCATGCTAATGGCCATCATGGGCCACGGCATTGCAGTCTCACCTCTATGGGTCAGATTAAAAATTAGGTTGACACTTCTTTTTCTCAGGTTGTTTTTGGCTGTGAGTGTGAAGTTATATGTTTCCTGTGAATCTTCGGTGATTTGCCAGGTATGCGAGTTTCTGTGGTCAGAAAGCTCCTGTCTCCCAGAGAACCTTAAAAAATGGAATAAAACAAGACAGCAAAGACAGGGTTTAAACACTTCCATCAAATCAGATGGATACGGATCCCTTGGAATTTTCTGTCACCAATATATGAAACATTTCAAAGAATAAATAAATACATCGTTATGTATTTATTTTTCAATGAAAAAAAATAAAAACATTTCAATGAATTTTCTGTATGTGATGAAATTTTCTTGTGGGTGGTATAGACATCAATCAATCTAGTTGAATATTCTTAACAATTTAGAAAAATTAGGGAAAGTTATATCAACAGATAAGACTATTTTATTACAAAGATACACAATCAACTATTAATATTTTTATTGTACACATTCTTTCCGAACAATCAGGTAGAAGGTCCTACACCTCTGTAGACAATGAAAGATTTTCTTGTGATTCCAGCAAGTGGTTCTGAAATATTTGGACACATTTTCTGCAATGTCTGGGTATAGCTCTCCTTGTGTCCCAATGTGTTTTTTGTGAAGTGGAGTTGGACTTTTTCTACAGACACTTTAGTATAAGTTTAACTATCCAGGGTAGGAGAAAGAAGTCCATCCAGAGGAAAGAAGACACATTCAAGAGTATGTGTCTCTTCTCTAAGTGAGAACCACTTGCCACGTGTTGATTAAACAAGGAAGAACCTGCAGATGATGTAACTAGAGCAGACTCACGATTCATATAAACTGTAGATTTGAGAATCTTGTTGATTCCAAGCCAAAGCAGTGTCTACCCCAGGTTCCCACGAACATGTCAAAGTCTTAAAGTCTTGGGTTTCACAGGAAAAATTCTTGGGCTCCTCGAGTATTTCTGTCCATACGAAAGGAAAGATGAAAGATCTAATTAACCCCTTTCATTACATGGCAAGTCAAAAGGAGGTTCTGCTTGGGGTCTTAACACACAGTCCCTCAAACCAAGAAGGAATCAGGAGGTGGAAGTAGTAGACCAAAGCCTCAAAGAGGCACATTTCAGGAGCTTCCCCATGCTATACTCCCCCATTCTGGGGTACCTTGGGGATGAGTAGTCAAAATAGTGCATGGGATTGGCAACTCTGTCTATCTGAAAACGGGGTTGGAGCTCCATTTTGATTCTGTGGCTTGCATTAAACCCTAGGGCTGCCAGCTAGACTGTGAACGGGTTCAGTTCTGCAGTGGGGAGCAGAAAGTCCCAGGCAGGGCAAAGCTCCTTGAAATGTGGAGCCCCTTCTGTTCCCAGGGCCTACAGTAAGGGATCAGATGATGGAAGCATCCAGGACTGGAAGTGCCTTCTTTGTCAATAGAGAGAGAGATGCTTCCTATGGTTTAGAGTGACGGAAACTTGAGAGTAGACGTAGAAGGTTATAGTACAGGCACATTGCAGCCTACAGAAAAGTCTGCATGCTCCCACCCCACTGAGACAGGCCAAGGAGTTAATTTTCCATTTAGTTAAGAAGACAAATGGCCACTGTTGTTGAGCTAATACGCCAGGGCTGGAATCCGCCCATATTCATAGATTCTCTAAACCGTCACTATGCCTATTCACGGAAATGACCAAGAGAACAGGCCTAGCCCGTAGATGGGGTCAGCATAGGTCTTTGCACTTCTGGGCACCACCCTTCCGTGATTGGCTGGCCTACAGCACCACCCCTCTCTCCATGGTTCAGACAGAATTCCAGGTCATCTGGGTTGAGGCAAAGAATATTTTCTCAGAGGAACAGGTCATATCCTGAAATCACTTTCCTTTAATACTGTTGGTTCTAGGAATAAAACTGTTAACAATAAAATAAGAACAATAGAAAACCCTGGGAGTATTGCTTTGGGTATTATTTTCAAAAACTCTTTTGGACAACTTGTAAAGGTGAAGAAAACTAAAACCACATGTGAACATATTTCTTTGCCTTCTGGTACATGAGATCCAAGGTGTACCATAGGAAATAAAAAAGAAGGAGACCTCACATGCTAATACAGTTGTTCTCAACCTGTGGGTCAAGATGCCCTGCATATCCTGCATATATCAGATATCCTGCATATCAGGTATTTACATTACAATACAGCTACAAAGTAGCAAAGAAATGATTTAATGGCTGGGAGTGACAACAACATGAGGAACTGTATTAAAGGGTCACAGCATTAGGAGGGTTGAGACCCACTATTGTTAATACTTACTTGAGACAAAGAGAACAGTACCAAGCAGTTTTTTAGTAGCATTCATGGCTTGACAATTGATGTTTGTCCCTCTGATGTTACGGAAAACAACGTTATTCAACTTCATTAATGATACGCGTGAATCAAGTTGTTCTCTATGGATTGGCTTTTCTTGCAACTTACAGGATATATTATATACATACTGTCCATACATCAAACACATGGTGACATTGGAGCCTTCTTCCAACAGTTTGTCTTCAGGAAATATTAAGAACGTATTAGGTTCAACTGAAACCTGTACTGCAAGACAAAACGCCTCTGTTAGAGTCTTACTCAGATTTCAAGACAAATCCCCTCCTACTCCCTGTAGTTAATATAATTTTATTCTACTTTCTTGGGAAAAGAACAACCTAAGCTTCCACATGATTCCTGAATCTTTTGGGAGATCCAAACCAACCCTTTCCACCACACCACCCTTTGTCAGACTGTTCCAGCTAAAACAGCGTCACTATCATCACTTCCGGTTACTGTGATGTTGCTGTTGTCTGCGGCTGCTCTCTGTAGAGCCTCCATCATGCAGGAGGCGCAACATGAAGCATTCCGGTTCCTTATCTCAACTCATCCTCAGAACTTCTCAACAGTGGAGTAAGCAGGAACTCTGAGCTAAGTTTGTTCAGCTTGTCATTAGAAAGGCCTTATTCAGATCTCCTGGGCCTCTGTGAGTGCCAACTTGAGATTCAGAATCTTGGGAGATGAGTCTCTGGGCAGGTCTATGAGTGATCACATTGATTAGGTTAGTCAAGGTTAGGAGATGTTGTCCCTGTGGGAGGCAGCAGTCCCTGGCTGGGATCCTGGACCATGTGAAGAGGAGAATGTAAGCTGAGCGCTGGCGTGGCTGTTTCCTGATTGTCGGTGAGATGTGATCAGCTGCTGCAAGCCTTTCCCAACCTGGCCATCCATGCCATCACGGACTGCACCCCTGAACTGAGAGCCACACAGTCTCTCTTGAACTGCCTAAACACCACTAAAGCTTGCCCAGCCCCTAAGCCATGTCTGTCTCCATCATGCTGAATCACTCCCTCCCCCTTCCCAGAGATGTTGCTCCCTCAATTTCATCCCCTTCTGCTCCAGTCTTTTCTTCCCTGTGACCTCAGGCATGTTAAAATCCTTAGGACGCTCCCTCTTTGAAGGAACTTCCTTCCTCCCTGTCACCACCTTCTCCAGCGTCATTTCTCCCTCTATCTCCAGGCTGACGTAGCCTGGCTGGTCACCTATCAGGCCACTAGATATTGCTGTTACCGATCTCACCTGTGACAAGTGCCCTGGGCATAGCTTTTCTGAGGGCTTTTAAGACCTCTTGATGATTCTGCTGAACAGCTATGGGTGAAAAACAGCCCTCTGAGGGATCTGAGGGTCAGGTTTTCATTTATTCTTATATAAATTTTATGGTTACAGTTTTAAGAAGTCTAGTCCATTATACCAGAGTTGTTTATAATACACTTATTTCTTTTTCTCTTGCTGTTGTTAGCTCGTTCTGAGGTGAGATCTCATTATATATTCTTGGTCAGCCTTGAACTCACTATACAGTACATTCAATTTATTCAGTGAGTTTATGTTCACCTCTGACTCATTTACTGAGCAGTGATTATGTGCTTACATGCATGGCTTTTTATTTTTACTATTCTCCTGCATTTCTATTTTCTTTCTGCACATATATACATATATGTACATACACATATATACATATATGCATGTATATACACAGCAACACATATATACATTCACATACACATATACACAGACATATATGTATGTGTATATATGCATGTGTATGTATGTATGTGTATGTATATATATATATGTGTGTGTGTGTATAATCTCTCAGCGGTAATAAACAGTTGTGAAGTACGAGGCTTATGTAGGTTCTTTACTTTCCCTGGTCCTCATTTTCTATATCTGTTAAGTGGGAATGAAAATAAAGCCTATTTCTTAGGGTTAAAGTGATAACTAAACCAGTGTCTAAAGTTTAAAATGGCAGAATGTATACTTCATTTTATTACTATCAATGGGTGCATTAAGTTATTCCTGGGTTAATAAGTTGCTAGTTTCAGTTAATAAATTTGCACCAAAGCTTGGCAAAGGAATGATTATATTAGTATAATTTCATATAATATGTCAGGACATATAGTGAGGAATAAAGATACTATTGCTGTAGAGCTGGCCTGCAGCCAAGTGGAACATGAGAAGCTATGGTAAAATCCAGTCTAAATTTGACCTACAACAATGTTCAGTGATCAAAATTAAAGGATAGTTAAAGTTATTTGTCTACAATTCTATCACTGTAGTGAAAAGCTGATTTCCTTCTCCCCGTATTGCTCCCTGCCTCTAAATTGAGGATCGGCAAACCACAGTCCATGAGCCAAGTCATGTCTACCATCTCTTTTGTAAGTAAAGTTTTATTGACACACAACTGCCCTAATTTGTTCATACATTGTCTAAGGCTGCTTTCTGAAGACTTAAGTGCCATAGTCTCCAAAGAAACTGTTGGGCCCTTTACAGAAACGTTTACAATACCTGTTCCAGATATATGTGTGTGTGCATATATATGTATATATAGATAGATATACACATATTTATATATATGTATGTGCTGCTTTAATAAAAATGCACATGCAAATCTAAAGTAAACATATTTTGCATATTTGGAAAATGAATACAAAATTATCTGAATCATATAATTAAATCAATGAAGGTATTTGAGGTAAGACTTCAGATATCTAGAGCTCCATGGGAAATTTCAAAACCACTTTTTAGTTCTATTATGACCGAATAAAAATAATGACAGTGTCTACTCAGGGTTTTCAAAGGGAATGGGACATACTACAATTGACTACTGACCCCTGAGTTATAACTGACTCTGGATATTCCTGTGACCACTTCATGTATCCACTTCACTTCTTACCACTAACTTCTTCCCAGGGAGTCCAGCTGCTCCAGGAACGCTGCGGAGGGTACTTGGCATCATCTACCATTGCCCTTATTCGGATGAAATGTGCTACACATTCCAAAGGGATCTCAGACTTCCAGTTCCAGTGCAGAACTTGGTTCCACTTCACAGGGGCGCTGTAATTCTCCTAAAAATAAAGGAAATGTCTGGAGACACACAGTCATTACATCCTGGAAAATAGGCCAACCTGAATTATTCCTAAGGTCAAGCTCCTACCCCACTTTGACTCCACCATGCTCCTAAGCCAAGTCCACTCCTAGTTCATCACTCCCTTGTTCTGATGTCTCAGCATCGGAAGCTATGATCTCCTGTCTCCTCAATCCTCATGACTGTCACATTGCCCAGAGGCCTGGGCAGATCAAGTGAGAGAAAAGAGAAGCCATTCAAGCCTTGAATCAAAGATTTGAGAAGATATTCAACCATGCTGGTCACTTAGACCCTGCTAAGAAAATTCTAGAAATCTAATTAATTGCATGGTTCTTTTAGAAGTAAGCAGTATATATATTGGTATTTTTAAATATTCATTTTAGCCAGGGTTAGAGCAGACTAGCTAAAGTTGAGAAAACACCATGGGAACACCAAGATCTCCAGAAGTGGTCCTTGTTTTTCTCTCTTGTCTTCTCAAATGTGGCAGTCAGATGGACCACATCTCTCCAAGAATCCCCCTTTGTCAGAACCTTAGGCCCTACAGTAACCAATAAGACAACGTTCCTCATACTGTTCTCTGAGGACCCTACTCAAGGTGAACTGAATCTTTCTAAGATGTTGGCATCTCTAGTCTCAAATTTGTTCAACTTCAATGGTGCCATGACATCTTTCTCTACCTTACAAGGTTCCCACAGTCTGGTTTCACTAGTCTGAAGGTATGTTCTCTCTGGACCCAATAGTCTGCCCAATACTTTTGTAGGTTTTTCTGGCATTTCAGTATCTGCTCATGAAGCATTGCTGGCTTAGTGTCCTCCACTTCCCTCTGCATTAGGAATCAGCTGCGTTATGGAAGCCCAGGTCATACTCCATCTCCTTCATGAAAGCCTTCACAAAATATCTCCGTGCTGTAGATGGAACCCAGGGCCTCACACATGCGTGGGTAGGGAGAACTCTGCATAGCTGCACCTCAAGTGACTGTGAGAATTCTCTGCTCTTTTATTTAATTTTTTCCCATCTCCAAACACCACAAAGCCTTCCTGGAATTTACCTGTGACTCTGGTATGGGTCTAAGAGGGCAGAGATTATGTTTTCTTTTTCTCTGAGTCCCCCATAGTTTCAGGAACTCATTTTCTTTGCGTGCCCCTCCAGCACCCCTGCCTTAACCCCAAGTCTGTGCTGGATAGTTTTACATCAGCTTGACACAAGCTAGAGTCATCTGAAAAGAGGGAACCCCAGTTAAGAAAATTACTCCATAAGATCAGTCTGTAGGCAAGCCTGTAGGGTATCTTCTTAATTAGTGATTGATGGAGGTGGGTCCAGCCCACTGTGAGTGGTACTGTCCCTGGTCTGATGGTCCTGGGATCAGTAAGAAAGAGAGCTGAACAAGCAGGGAAGCTGAACTCTACGGTCTCTACATAAGCTCCTGCCTCCAGGTTCCTACTCTGCATGAGTTCCTGTCCTGACTTCTTTTGATGATGAACTGTTAACTGTTACATGGAAGGGTAGCAAACAAAACCAAACACAATAAACAAAACTCTTTCCTCCCTAAGTTGCTTTGAGTCACAGTGTTTCATCACATCAATAGAAACCCTAACTAAGATGCAATCCTTACAGATCCTTGAATTTCCTGGGGAAGCCAGTGTGAGTCTGTACCGTGTACCTTAGCACAAATGGCAAGTCCTCAGGATGTGGAGCCCAGTAGCCGCACGCCATGCTTGTAGGCCACAGCTCTTACATCTTTACCCTGTTCAGATCACCAATCTTAAATCATGGAGACAACAGATTCACACTGCCGGGGACCAAGAACACTGTGATCCACCTGGGTACATTTAATTGTACTCTATACAGAACAGATTCTTTAAAAGTGTTACTATTTTATATCGCTTTATTATTTTGCTTTTTCCTTAGATGACAAAATATATTTTTGTCTGCCTATTTTGATATCCTGATTCATGAAACTTTCGTTATTTAATGAATACCCTTAAGACATCGTATTTGAATATCGTTAAATATAAACACTAGACAACAAAAGAGAAAAGAAAACTAAACTAGGCAATAATAGTAAACTCATTATGCAGTCAGCAGGCCACAGAGTTGGGGTTCCCCTGTGGCTCTCCCTACAGCCACCCATTCCTGCCCTGGTACTCCCCGGCAGCCAACTCTCATATCTTGCCACACCCCTTCTTCCTACTGCTCTTGAGGTAAACACATCTGATCATTCTCCCCATGGCCCTGGGTGGTCTTGTCCTGCACCTGCCTGCCCCAATCTGTCTCCATGTGCTCTAAGCCCACACACTGCATCCTGCTTTCAAATCTGATCGCTAACCCACACCCTTTCTGAAGGCCTCTGATCGCTCCCGTTGGGTTTTCCCAGAGATCTTGTTCCCATCTTTTACACTAAATTAACTCCAACTTTTCTTTCGGATCTTGCCTTGAAGAATCTTTTATTTAAATTGTGGAAGAAAATTAGGCCTGGTCCCAGCATTTACAAGTGACCCTTACACCCCCCACACTCTTAGAACATCCCATTGTGTTCTCGGCCTTTAAATCCCCACACCTTGCCCAAACCCCGATGCAGGCCCACAGCCCAACATTCTGAGCTAACTAATGTCATCACCTGATTAATATGCAGTGTGTCATGTTTTCCTAGACACTGTGTGGAGTCTCTCTAACCTCAGATTATGCTCTGTGATCTTTATAGCCTTGCCAAGGAAGAAGATAAACTTTGACTATGTCAGTCAAATTAGTGATTAAGAAATGTGATGAATTTGATTTCTTATTTTTTAGTCATTGAAGCGGCAATTTGAATACAGACCTTGCAGGTACAGAAATTGGCAGACATACAGGCATAGAAATGTATCTGAGGTCAATGACTCATGGCAGAAGCATGAATCCTACCCCTCGATGATTCCCACCCCTGGCATCTTTCCAAGCTTGAGATGCTATTCTGCCTTCTCTTGCTGTTGAAAAAGAAATACAGAAAATGTCCTAGAAGAAAAAGCAAAGTTTGGCCTGGGGCAGCGCCATGTAGTGTGGCTGTCAGCAAGGCTCTGTGTGGCCAGCACTGTTAGGGAAGCGTCCTGCTCTAGCTATGAGCACCTAGGTCGTCTGGCTTGTTGGAAGCACACTGGAAGCTGTTCTCCCTCAGCACAAGTAGAGATGGGGTTCCTAGCTTGCACTCCAAGAAACTGCCCAAGCAAAGAAGAACTTCCAGAAGGAAAAAAGATCTAATATCCCTCCTCAACTTCATGTACCAGAAGAGTCAGACAAGTCATAGCGTGTGAGCTGACATCACATATTCAACAGCGACAATTGTGGGAAACTGCCCTTTAAAAAGACAGCCAAGCAACAGACTTGCTATAAACCCAAGTGGACTGAGTCAGATTTTATTTACTTTAGGCTCCTTGCTCAGACCTCATATTTTGTAATGGATATGGGAAAGAACTGAAGACTTTAACATTAGTGACAGGCTTAACTGGAAGGACAGACATTCTTGATCCCTAAATGCCAGGCATTTGCTGCCTGAAAGAAAGGGGACCTCAGTGGGGTTGATGGGTCCTCATCCCAGTCTTCTGTGTCCTTTACCTCCAGAAGATGTCTAAGATTGTCCTTGAACTTCTCATAACAGTATCTAATGTCTCTGACCAAAGTGCCCTTAGATGAGACTGTGTTGGACACAGTAGACACATCCATTACCTGAATCAAGATGAGTGAAAATCTACCCCCAAATAATTCAGAGCAGAAAAAAGTTGAAGATTTTCTTTCATTTGGTTTGATGCAAGGGTTCATGTAGCCCATGTTGGCCTTGAACTTATTCTATAGCACAGGGTGTCTTGAACTCCTGTTCCTCCAGCTTCTACCTCTCAAGAAGGATTTCATCAATTAATTTATCTATTAGCAAACCCACATTCTAGGAAACAGAGGACACTAAGTTATTGTCCAATGCAGTCCATGGACACCTCCTGTGTTGGCCAGACCGTAAGTGCTGGGACTTGCTCCCCTGTGCCCTCAGCACAGGGTAAGTAAAAGGACCCCGATAATCCTCACTGTGAGAAAAGTTTCAGTAAGTCATTATATCTTATTCCGGACCATCCAGCTTTCCTGGTGATGCTGCGTGCACAGAGAAGAGAGGAGAGAGTGAGATAACGGATCTGCAGGCACCATGCAGACCCAGTATTTGCAGGGACAGACCCAGTGACTATCTTGGGACAAACAGCAAAACAGACAGAATCTATTTTCTTAATTAATCCGTCAAACCCAATGGGACATATTACTTTGTTTTAACTCAGCGGTTCTCAACCTGGGGGGTCAAATGACCCTTTCACTGGTGTCGCCTAAGACCATCAGAAAACACAGATATTTGCATTACAATTCACAGCAGAAGTAAAATTACAGTCAGAAAGTAGCAATGAAAATGAATTTATGGTTAGGGCTCACCAAAACATGAGGAACCGTATTAAAGGGTTACAGCATGAGGAAGGCTGAGAACCACCTGTCTTAACTAAAAACGCAGGGAAGCAATTGTTTAGGAAACCTGTATTGAGAAGGAATTGTTGTGGAATAATAAGATTTCTTGAATGATATAAAAGACAAATCAAGATGCTTACCACCCAGATGATGTTGGATGTTTTCATTCTACTGATCTCTATTTGAAATACCATGTCTAATTCTTGATGAGTAAGGTTGGGGACAGTCCACTGTAAATTCACTTGCTGAAGTTTAGACTCAACAGTTACATTAAGTATCTCAGGCGTCAACTGGAAAGGCTCACCCAGCACTGAAAGACCAAACACAGATATAAAATAACCCTCAATGGGGGTACAATTGAATAGACACACACCCAAGAGAGACGCTGTTCCATGTGCTCCCCAGCGAGCTTTGGACAGTGTGTTTGCATATACGTTCTAGCTTCAGGTACTGAGAGACTCTGAGAAGGCATTAGAAGTTACATCAGCAAAGGAAAAAATTAAGACCCCAAAGAAGCAGAAAACTTGCTCAGCAATGCACAGCATATTACCGAGCTGGTAAACAACTAGATATATGTGTCTTTCCTGAGTAATCTAACTGATGTGAATTCATAATGCAGACAATACGATTTTTTAAAAAATATCTCATATTTTGATTTAATACTAAAAATCAGTTTTTGGAAACTTTGAGTTCCATGGCTTATTAGAAGGTTCCAGAGTGGAAGCGTATCACCTATATAGACACAGTTCCATGTATTTCAATGTGCTGAGCTTCAATATCTCCAGCAAGGGTTCGCTGAACTCTTTGGATGAGACAGCAATGATTATAGGCGCTTAATAACAAACAAAACACTGGTGACGAGATTCCCCAAGCAGAGAAAGAGCCTAATTGGAGAGACACAACACAATCATGGAAACAGTCGTGATTGTGAGCTTGGAGCACTGGAATGACTCCTCAAAGGAACAGAAATTCAAACATGGACAGATTCCTGCGCATCACTGGCCCCTGGAAGTGCCCAGTCTCTTCCCTGACTGTCGTTAAACCTTACATAGAACCACAGGCATAGCTTGTACACAGAGACAACAACTGCAATACACTCTGCTACAAGATAGACTGTGGGCCTAGATCTGCTTGGGTTACTGTCAGTTCCAGAGAATAAACAGTTGACTTTCACTTAAGAGAGGAAAACACCATAGAGAATTGAAAGGAATTATTTGTTGCTGATTCAACTGTTTCAACTGTTGGACGGAGGAGGTCTGAAATAAACTGGGGACTTCACAAGGGTTTTGAAACAATAAAGGCTCCCTTCATAAAACCAGCTGGTGTCCGCTGACCTATGTATAAGAGACATCTGCTTCTTGGCCTTCATTTCCCTAGTTTTTTAGAAACTGGTGACTTGAAAGCTTCTTGTATTTCATTTAAAAGGCAAGAAAGCTTCTAAGGGAGGAAGCTTTGGCAACTAAACACACGCTTAGCATGGATAAGTGTAGTGATATTTCATTTGTATTTTAATAAATAAAACTTACTTGAAGATCAAAAAAGTAAAAAGCCACCCTGGCTAGCCCTGAAGACCAGGCAGCAGTAACACATGCCTTTAACCCCAGTAGGCACACTAGCTTGCCATAGAGACCAGGTGGTAGTGGCGCATGCCTTTTATCCCAGAACCAGAGAGGAATATAAAAATGGGAGGAGACCACTCTCACACACAGTCTCATTCAGAAATTCCTGGAGGCAGCATCGCTATTTCAGACTGAGGTAGAGATAAGAGCCAGTGGCTGGCTGTTTGGCTTTTCTGACCTTTAAGTTGGACTCCAATTTCTGTCTCTCAGTTTTTATTAATCATTCTACAAATAAAGCCCCCAGTTCAGTTTCCCTGCAGCCTCTCCCTTCCACAAAGGGGTTCACTTATGTGAAACATCCAGACTAGGTAAATCCATAGAAATAGTAAGTGGACTGGTAGTTGCCAACATTGGGAATCAAAGAATCAGGAACTTTAATATAATCGATATTAATGTTTCTAGTATCCAGAGGCTGTGTTTCTGGTCCCTAGCAGTATTAAGAAGCAAGGCTCCACCATTCATCCCCAATAGGCCAACCAAATAAATAAATAACAGTATACAACAGAGAAAACAGTTTTATTTAGTGTATCTGCATTGGGAAGAGAAACAAAGAGACCCAGTGACTCTCTAAGTCTTCCTTGAAGGGAAGTACAGGTTTAAATAGAAGGCAGGACCATGCATCGTCATCATTAAGCAACCCTAGTCAAAGTGTGGTCCTGTCCATCACTGTCTGCAGCTTGCCCATTGAGGAATATTACTTTAACTATGTAAAGATGTGCTGCATTTGTTTCACCTTGCCTGCATAAGGCACCCGATTGGTCTAATAAGAAGCTGAAAGGCCTGTAGCTAGGCAGGAGAGGGATAGGCAGCACTGGAAGGCAGAGGGAATAAACAGGAGGAGGAATTTGGCTCAAGAGAAGAACAAGGAGGAGAAGAGAACAAGGGAGAAAGAGAGGGATATGCCCAGGGTAAGAAGCCAGGCAACTGGCAGCCAGTCTGACATGAGAAGCAGTGAAAGTAAAATAGAAAGAAAGAAAGAAAGAAAGAAAGAAAGAAAGAAAGAAAGGTGGAAAGTCCCGAGGCAAAAGGTAGATAAAGGTTAATTTAAGTTAAAGAAAAAAAAAAAGCTAGTCAGAAACGAGCCTAAGCTAGGCCAAGCATTCATAACTAAGTCTCTGTGTCATGACTTGGGAGCTGGTTTGTTGGCCCAAAAGAAGAAACCTGGTACACCCGTCTCTCCTGCAAGGGGATTGGGAAACCTCTTCTTGGGAAAAAGCTCCTCCTCTGGAAGACACTGGGCTTCAGCATTTGCTTTCTTCTGCCCTCTGACTCCCAGGGAAATTCCAATTCCTTGGATGATAAATAATCTGACAGAATAAGGGAGGGGCACAAATTTAAAATATCTTCAACTCCCACCAGGATAGTTACAGTAATATTATGAAATATTAAATGTCACTGATGATTGAATCACTGTAACCATAAAGATAATTAATTTTATTAATTAATTAATTTAATTTATTAATTTAGTTTTATGTTATATGACTGTTAACTTAATAAAAATTTTCATGATACATGGTAATGATAAAGAAACAATAAAAAGCTGAGCTTCTAGAATCCTGTCAACTCCATTGTTACTAAATTGTCAAACTTAAATCATGTGTTTTGATTTAAATTATTCCACACTGTGATGTGGGAGTCCCCTCTGTGTGCTATGGTTATCATTAATGAATAAAGAAACTGCCTATAGCAAGGCAGAACTTAGGTAGGCAAGGAAAGCTAGGCTGAATGCTGGGAGAAAGAAGGACAGAGTCAGAGAGAAGCCATGGAGCTGCCACCTCAAATAGAGGCTGGGAACTTTACTCGGTAAAGTGGTGACACACAGATTACTAGAAATAGAATAAATTAAGATGCAAGAGTTAGGCAATAAGAAGTTAGAGCTAATGGGCCAAGCAATGATTTAAATAATACAGTTTTTCTGTGATTATTTCAGATCTAAGCTAGCCGGATGGCCGGGAACCAACAAGTGGCCCTCCTCCACCTACACTGTGGTTTGTGTGTGGTTTGAGTATCCAACAGAGATTCTCAGAAATATGGTTCTAGTGTGGGGATGGCCAAAGGTGGTAGACTATTAAGAAGTAGGGCCAAACTAACATGCTAGTGGAAGTCCGTAGCTGTCTGATCAGAGCTAAGGCCCACTCAAAGGCAGGGAAATCACACCTGGTTTTAGAAGGCTGCCTCCCAGGGCTACCGATGCAAAGCATCACAGTCCTGCCTCCACTTCCTTCCCCACTTCGGTGGGCTGTGTCTCACCCTTCCTTCAGCTGTCTTTTTCAAGTGTTTTGTCATGGTGACTTGAAAGTAAATAATTCCCATGTTCTCTCTCTGTCTGCCTAACCCATGACTTTCTCACCCTTGATGGCAGCAGGTTGTCATAGGCTGCTTTTCTGCTGAGGGCTGTGGCTGAAACAAGAGTGTGATGAAGTCTTACTTAGCTCAGGGAAATCAAGATTAGCAACACACGGTGAGTATAGACATTCTACATTTGATCGACACATGAATGAGTCAGCTCCTGTCTCACCTTATTTCTGGAAGCTCTACCCAGATCTCCCACGTTGTTTCAACAAAGGGGAAGTTCTGGAAATTAGCGTACATTATCAGCAAATGTGGAACAACTCAGGTACTTGAGTAACAGCAGTGAGAAGTAATGTGGGGGAAGAGGAACTAAAACTCCGAGGTGAAGCCAGGCAGGTCAAAGGGACCATGGAGATTAATAAATCCAATCTTGCTGACATTTCACAGAAGCTAGCTGAGGTTAAAAGTGGAGGTGGATGCCTGTGCCAAGGCTCAAATTAGACCAGACCCAGGGATTTTGGCTCCCAGGCCCACTCCCATGTCATGACATGGAAGTGTGGCTCAGGAGACCATTGGAGACTCCTCTGGGCTTAGTCATAAACACAGTCCCATTTTCCCCATGGTTTCTCTGACCAGCCCTAACACTTCTGGAGGAAATACTGTGTGGTTAATTCCCAGAAAGAGATATCACGTAATAGTTCTTAAAACAACATGATTCCAGAAGCATCTAATATCAGAAGGAAACATTCGTCCTACTTAATGGCTTAAATTTAAAAAAATCCCCCGGAGACAGATTTTTCTTTGCTTGTATATATGCATATGTGCATTTATGCTTTTCTCTGAACAACATGATTTAACCTTTTTTACAGCGTGTATTGGAGGAGAGCAATGTAGCTCTGTGAGACTAGGAGCTTGCGGCCAAGCCTGATATCCTGAGTTCTATCCCTGGAACCCACATGGTGGAGGGAGAGACCAAGTCACACAATTTGTCTTCTGTCCTCCACACATGTATTGTGACATGCATATGCAAATAACTCCTATATGCGTGTGCACATGTGCATGCGTGCACACACATAGACACACATGTTCTCCTCAATAAATGCAAAAAAAAATTAAAAATCTCCACATATTTATAATTTTTCTTATGTATAACCTCAAAGAGAGAAGAACACGTCAGAATGCTGTGGTCAACTCCTCTGGCTGATGGAAACATGGTTGGAGCTAACTGAACGGTCTCACCTATGTCCTATTGCTTGGAAGAAGTTGGTTCAGGCTGTTTGAAATGCGGTCTCTGACCTGAGCCTAGTTAGTTGATTGAGGGGTGTCCTCACTAGTGTGAGTGGAGGTGTAGTGGGCAGTAGACACTAAAGAAAATCCCCACAGCTCTGATGAAGACAAAGATCTACCTGTTTTGTAAAGAAAGTTGGAGGCAGAAATGGAAATCGGGTTGCCAGGAACTTAGGGAAACAAGTTTGATCTAAACAATAGAAACGGAGCCGCAAAGGCTGACGTGAGAACAGTACATGTCACATGCAGAAGACACGCCATGTACAGTTGGGTCACATCGTGAGACTCTGCTGGGGGGAACAAACTGTGGCAAAAGCATTGCGAACGCTGAAGGTGGGGGGGGGGGTGCCTCACCATGAGGATGTGGTGTGTTAGGCTGTCTCCGAACCAGGGACTCTGACCTGAGCCTGGACATTCTCCATGCTCAGCCTCTCTAATCAGTTACAGTGTGCTTGACCCCAGGAGCCAGACAGACTGAGGGAGCTACACAAGCCACCAGTGAGAGAGTCCCGTCACCTGGCAGCTCAGCTTATATGGAAAAGAACTTCACTAACTGCTGTGTAAGACACCAGGAGAAATAGCATATTCCCACAGGCTGACACCAAACCTGGCTCTAAACGACGAGAGGCAGAACTTGCGCCTATCGGCAGAACTGAAATATCCCCTTTTCTTTTCTTGCAGTTCTAAGGATAAATGAAGAATGCTATGCATATTCTTTGCGAATGTCATTTTTCCGTGCACGGAATTATATCTGCGCTCTTTGTTAAAAAGCAAATACAGCAAAGAATAATACAGGAAGAAAAAAATGCAAGGTTTTATACGATATGGACAAATGCAGGGGAAATTTATGAGCCAATAGAAACTTTCTCAAGTCTAAGGATCTATGTTTAAGTGAGTTCAAAGTAATAAAGTATCCACATACATTTGATAAAATATTCACATGCTTGCGCATTTATGGAGTTGACTTACTCTAAACTGCGGTCTTCTGGGGAGAGCTAATTGACAAACACTAGTTCTCTGGCAGAAAGCAGATTTCAGCACTTCCGATATTACATACTTGAGAGAGTTCCTACTGCCTGCCAGGCTATGATTGCTTTTTAGTCATATTTTATAAGCCTAACAGCTCTCGGCAAGCATGACTAAGGGGCATGGGAACTTGTTCTAACCTAGCCATGAGAACTAGTCTGGGCTGTTCCATCTTGCCCAGCAGGGCTTGGAAAGAAACCCCCTGGCAACGGTCTCCATGAAACAGAGCAATTCCAAAGCTCCGTGATCTCAGATAAACTGACAACCACCCCAATGAACAGAGCACAGAGCAGGAAACCAAGGCGAAGTAGTGGACTTACTAGTGGTGCCCTCAGGATGAGGGAGGCCATGTCCAAGGCAACTGTGGCTTCCAGAGATTTAACACATCTCATGTGAGCTAATCACCAACTCCAAGAGAAAAGAAATGGCTTAACTTTTCTCCAAAGCACCGGTTGGTTCATCCTTATATGTTCTTTACTTCTGTTTCGGCTTCTTACCTTCGGTTAGGGATGCTCTCAGGGACAGCACTGCCAAGAGGAAGACTGGATGAAGGACCGCAGAGAAAGCCATTGGTCTGACTGTCTGAAAAAGAGAAATTACAAGAAAGGGAATTTTATTTTTTTTTTAATCTTTAACTCCTAGTTCGTTTCTCGTGCCAGCTGTGGTCAGGGATGGGACTGAAATCTCTCCTTTTTCTCCCCTTGGATTCATGTCCTCTGCCTTTGGAGCAAGAATTCATATTCCTGTCTCACGAAATGCTCCTCAAGTCATAAGTGAGGCACAGCTGATAGAGACCTGTGTGAGCCTTGAAGACTTCCTCTGTGGTGGGTTTCTGAGGCAGGGTGGCAAGCGCTCAGTGATCAGCCAGTTCGTTTGACTCATCCAAGCAAAGCCAGCAAGGCAGAAAACCAAGTGAAAAATGAAAAAAACCAAACAAAGCAAACGCTGACTGAAAAGAACAAATATAATCTCAAAAGGGCTCGTGTGAGGGGCTAGAGAAATGCCTCAGGGGTTGGAAGCCCTTGTTGCCCTTGCAGATGGCCTGGGTTTCATTTCTAGCACCCACACTCGGTAGCTCAAAACCATCTGTAACTCCAGTTCCAGGGGTCCAACACCCTGTTCTGACCTCTGCGGACACATATGGTACACAGGTATATGTGCAGGCAAAAATAACTACACAAAAAGTAAAATAAGCAATTTATTAAAAATGTTAACCAATAAATTTAAAAAAAAAACTGAATTCACCCCCAAAGCCATCTTTACACTTCCCCTTTCCTCTCACTGAAATTCAACCTGGGAAAAGTTAGCATACTCTAGGCGATGGTCATTCTCGTTGTTCAATACTATTTCCGCTTTGTTTCAGTTCTGGTGGGTTTTTTTTTTTTCTTTTTAATTTTTTTTTTTTTTTTGGTATTTTGCCTCTGAAAAGAATTGCAAATTGCAGCAGGCCAATCGAGTTCCACTGATTCATAAGATGATTTGAACGGAGGACAATCTGAGGGCAGAGAGAGGAAGGCTAGATGACCTCAAAAAGACCAATTCCTTCCTAATTTAATAGCAAACCCATTAGTCAGGGGAAGCATTAATCCTCACTTTTCTCTTCAGGACTCTGAGTCAGAACGGTTCATAGAAAGCCCGTTTCTGCCCTTGTCCTGTTGCCCAGTGCTCACCCAGAGCTAGAAATTCTGGGAGTCTGCTTATGAGTTCCCACTGCCACCGTCTCCGTTCATTTTCAAACAGGGTCTTACAGATAAGGAGCCACCACACAGACAAGAGGTGGCTAAAGCAAATGGCTCTATGGTGGTCACTGTGCCTGTGGTCAACCACGCCTGTGCGCTGAAGTCGTAGGCAGCCTTTCTGCACTGTTTTCTACTCTTGGCAAAACAACAATCCGTTCACACCTGATCTCTACTTAGAATTGCGTAGTCTGACTAAACGCCAGAGCCAGGAGGAGAACTAATTCAAGGAGAAGCCATGTGTGCGTGTGTGTGTGTGTGTGTGTGTGTACACACCAAGAGAGCATAGGAAGAGACCCATTGGGAAGTGTCTACCATTCTGTTGAAAGTGACTGCAGCCTGGGTCCAGGCACTTGCCACTGTATCCTCCCACTAACTCTTGGGACACAAAGGGGCCACGGTGGGAAAGAAATCTCATGCCACAGTCTGAAAGAAGAAGGCTCTGGAGCTGATGTGCACACCAAATGGTTTCTCTATGACTGGGCTATTAAAAATGTTTCTAAACACATGACGCTACTTCAAGACGTTAAAATCATGGGCAGAGAAATGCCCAGAGAAAACCCGAAGTAATGGTAAGTAGAGATCAGGGGGTAAAGGTCACCAGGTAAGACGAATGGAAAACACAGCATTCACAGGAGGTCACAGTGTCGGAATCCCAGCAGGGGGTCAGCAGCTCCCACCCTCTGCTCTCTCTACCTGTTGGACTGAGAAGCCTGAGAAAGAGCAACAGCAGGGCTTCTGATTTCTTGTCGTACCTGAGGCCCCCTGTCTCATACACACCAGACAGGTAGCAATTGTGACCCAGAGGTCACTGCCCTCACCTGAGTTCAGTGGCTATTGTAATCTCCCTTTCTGCCATATCATCATCCTTTGGCTTTCCTCAGCCAGCCACTGTCTGACAATACAACTGGGAAAGTTCCAGAAATAATTAGAAAGTTTATATATTTTTATAAGTATTTATTTAGTGACTGTGTGCTGTGTTGTGTGTGTGTATGTATGCATGTGTGTGTGTGTGTGTGTGTGTGTGCATACATGCTCACACTGTGGCTCCACCATGCAGACTCCCAGATCAAGCTGAGGTTTTTAGGCTTGGCAGCCAGGGCTCCTGCCCACTGAGCTATTGAGCTTCAGTTGGCTTCTACTTCAGACTGTTGTTACGCTTGCTCTGTCGCTGGGGCTGCGAGTGTCTTACTGTACAATCGTGCACAACACAAGAAAACAACAGCACATACAGAGTGTGGGTCCCAACTGCTTAGGGCTGTCTTCTGGGGATCTTAGGATGCCCTCTCTGCAGACATAGAGGACCCCTGCATAGTTTGCAGTGTCTTCCCTGGACGGCCACCATCAACCCGAGGACCACGGGCCGCAGGACTGTAAGTCTTCACTGTTGCCTGGAATCCTCCTGGAAAAATCAATAAAGTTCTTGAAAACTGGCAGAAAGGGAGTTGGCAGCTGCAACATCTCAACGGAGTGTTTCTTCAGAAACCACACAGGAATAATCGTCCGACAGCCTGAGGCTAACAGTGTGTGGAGAAATGGACACCACTTCCTTGCAAACCCTGGAACACAGCCTTATGCAGGGTAATTGTGCCTTCCCCAGTTAGGCTAGCCTGCGAGTGTCAACTGTTTCTTGATGGGATCGTGAAGACGAAGAGTACCCAGAAGATTCAAGGACCAAAAGGAGGCAGGTGTGGCTGAGGGGAGGGGAAGAGTGAGAGGAAGCCCAGGGATGAGATTGAGCATTTTTGGAGCATAGAGGAGAAAGAGTAGGCATTGTATTTGCATAGCTTGAACTGCCGTGGAAAATCCCTGGAAAGATTTCACAGAGCTATACTGAGCTGATGCGCAGGGCACAGAGTTCAGAGATGCAGAAAGAAAGAAGGAAGCGGAAGTGGAAGGAGACATGAAGCCGAAGTCAACAGTCTGGATGAAAACTTGAGGACAGAGTTTGAATGGTGGAGGTAGCAAGGTGTGGTGGGGTCAGCAAGAGATTTCAGAGGCAGAGCTGACGCACCATGGGTGGTGACCAAATGAAATATCAAGAATTTTGGCTCAAGTGCTTTGAAGAATCACCATTTAGCAAGGCAGAAGACTGGGCTGGATGGATTGGGAGTCTCTATCAAAAGCTCTCAGCTCCAGAGAGAAATTTAAGATGCTTGTTTGATCTACCTAAGCAGCCAGCTGAACTCATGGAATTCCTGCCCATCAGTAGAATAATTTCGGGTGTGCATGAGACTACGTGATTGTAAATAAAGACAGAAAAAGGACAAGTGCAAGCCCAGAGCTTGGGATACTCCACAGCCTACACTATCTTCGGGGGCACACATGCACCATACAGACAAAAATGAAAACCCTGAGTAACTTGGTTTTCCAGCACTCTCAAGGATGAGCGCTGTGAGTGGGTGAGTGGGCCGGTCGATCAGTACCTACCTAAGGAGCAGAAATTTCCCACTGCTCAGGGCACACGGTGTCCAGACATCCAGCCTCAAATTCACCCAGCAGCCTCAGAAGCTGCGGCTCTCAGTGAGCAGTGTTCTGCTCCAGATTCCCAGTAAGAGAAGGAAGGCAGAGAGGGGTGTGTCTGTTTGCCCTGTGTCCTTCTCCAAGTCTGTTCTTTCTCACATTTTATCATCATTGAATAGACGTGTGCCACTAGAGAGAGCACCCTCTGTGCACCAGAGTCCCAGGACATGCCTGCCACCCAGAAAGCATCTGGGAAATGAAGAAAAATTGGTACCATTTTTCTCCTACTTCCTCTTCTTTGTTTTCAACTTATTTTTAATGAAAACACAAATTGATTCCCTTTCAGGCCTTTTTTCCTGCCATCACATTTTCCCAGTTTGTAACCTTTGGCACACTTGGGGTTTGGGCGGGGTGGGGGGTGGGGTGGAGAGAAAGCTGCCATCTCTTTTGTAATTTACACTCTACTCATCCATCCACTCCCGTCTCTCCATATCTTCCCCATCTCTGGGCTCCCATTCAGTGTAGATCAACCAAACATCCCTCTGTGAAAATCTTACTCGCTTCACTGTGTTCTTTGAATGTCCTCCCTGCTCTTCAAATCTTCTGTGCAAACTCCTATTTTCCCCGAAGGTCCTCTGAATGTCCAGGGTGAATGCTATAGGCGTAATAAAGTGCACTTCTAAGGAACTCCTGGTGAGCCTTCCCTTACCAGAATTTCTGGCTCAGTCAGGACTAAAGTATGTATTCCTGGGAAGTTTCTCTACCACAGAGAATCCTCATGAGACATTGCAACAGCCAACAGTCGGTTGTTTCCCCAAAACCTGGGTGTGTTGCCAAATTATTCAAAACTGGCTGGGTGATCTAAGGCTATCATATTCAAATGCCATTTAAAGATGTTGGTGGATGGTGTGTGTGTGGTGTGTGCGTTTGAAAAAGAAAAAGTTCTGTTTTTAGAATTGAACAGGCTCCAAGAGGTTATATGGTAGAGCACTTGTCTCAACATTTTCAACCTCGATGAGGACAAACTGGAAACCAGTTCCAAGAGCTCTGTGCTGACGTGCAGAGCGGCATGCATTGAGGGACAGTTCTCCATCGTTCCCTTCTTCCAGGGCACTGCCAGTAGGATTGCCACGCCCCTCTGAAGGGTCCTCATTGTTTCTGTATAAGACTGATGACTTAGGCTCCAGGACAAACGCCTCCTGAAGGTGCTAGCATTTCTTCTCCATCCTAACTTTGCATCCCTCCAATGGATAACACGTGTCCACCAAGTTCATAATCAAATCCTGACATAAGGAGCTGAACTAGTTCCTGTACAAGATTATTTCAGGGACGTGTGACCTTCACTTCAGCTAAAACTTACTCTCTGATTGGTAGGTAAATCCACAAGAATGATGAAACCAAATGCAAAGAATGTTCTTGATCCAAAAATGCAGAAATTTCACACATACTAAAGGTGGTAGAATCATTTGGGAAGAGATACTGTTCCTTTAAGTGATACTGGAGCAATAACCTGGACATCATAGGGCATCAAGCATGTCCTGAACTGTGGTAGGGGACTCAGGGTCGCGCTCCACTTTGGGAGTTAGTGGCTGTATAACCAAGCGCTAACTCTTTGACCGCCTCTTCTGTGAGAATGGAAGAGCCTGTCTTAGTAAATAGGTAGGGGGGTTAGTAGGCTTAAGAGTGACCACACATAGTAAATATAGTAAGTCTTATCTTTATTGTTACTGTTTTACTCCTTCAAGCAAAATATATCCCAAATAGTCACAAATCCAAGATACAAACCACAAAAAGCACCTTAATAAAAACAGTGCTGCGATGTTATGCAATCTAGCAGTCATAAAATGAAACCCCAATGCAGTAAAGATAAAGGCTGTTATCTCAACTATGTAATTTTCAAAGAATTAATGCCAAATAATCAAACATAACAAGCCAAATGGAAAAAATTAATACCAACTAAAAATATATGGCAAGGAGTCATTGTTCCCAATATGCAAAAATCTGCTCAAAGTAAGATTAAAAGGAAAATAGCTACTGAAAAATAGAAATATGTAATTCAGAAAAAGAAAAAAAATCCACATACTAAAAAGTAAAAAGAAATAGAGGAAGATTACTCGGATTGATGGAAGTCAGTTTAAAACAGTAACGATGCCTATTTCACCAGCAATTGGGAGACAGAGGCAGGAGGAGAACCACAAGTGTGAGGCCAGCCTGATCTAACTAGCAAGCTCTACAGCAGCCAAGACTGTGAACTGAGACCTTGTCTCAGAACCGTCACAACAAACAAACCCAAGCAGTCACTGAATATGAAAATGTCTGTGTAACATCAAATTATCAGAAATAAAGATGCTCTCAATACCACTAAATGGTAAGGAAATAAACATCACCACTCATTAAGAATCAAAGAGGGTGACCCTGCAGAAGTGTGTTTGACTGTATCTATTAAATTTTAGTATGCATTTTCTTTAATTCAAAACTAATCTATAATTCTATTATTAGGGTTATCCTACAGATAATATAAATACATCAAATACCCCCTCAAAGGAGCCAGAAATTTTAATTACTCTGCATCTCCACAAAGGGGAACGAAATGGTATTTGAGGGGGATAAACTAGACACAGGTGTTGACATGAAAAAATGTTAAAAAAAATCCCGAGTGGAAAGGTGAATTTCAGAATAGTGTTTGCACAGAGCATCTCTGCAGGACAAACATGGCAGCTGTGCCACGGGGCTGCCCAGAATTCCTTCCCAACAGACCTGACATGTGGACACCATGACTGACAGCATCCACACAGCCAACCCTGGCCAATGACGAAGCTTACTAAGCCTTTCCCTCCAATGAACTACCCTGAAAAGCAACTTCAACAGGTGTCTCCCCCAAGTCTAGCAAAAGTTTCCTGAGATCTGTGGCCCAGATGACTCAACATTTCAGAGCACCTCTGTTGAAGTTTCCTCTGAGTTCTACATCCAGAACAGCTTCAAGGCTGCAGACTGAGATGATCCTGCCTCACAGAATACTCCAGTCAGGACTTACCTATAATCCTAAATTTTCTTTGGGTCTCATAAAATTATTAGCACACTCAATCAGCAGGAAGTAGCCTAGAAAATTACGCCCACATTCCCCAACAATGGATTATGGAAGTTTTTCTTTGTTTAGTGTATTAGTTACAAGTTGTTATGGATAAATGGTCAGGAAAAAAAAACCTAAATAAAGGAGATTAAATTTAGGGTCTTGTTTTGAAAAAAAAGGGAGATGCTGTGGGATCATGCTCTTGTACTCTGTAAAGATTTGTCACTTGTATTGGTTTAATAAAACACAGATTGACCAGTTAGTAGCCAGGCAGGAAGTTGATGCAGGACAACCAGACTAGGAGAATTTTGGGAAGAGGAGAGGCAGAGGAACACAGTCCCAAGCCAGACACAGAGGAAACAAGATGAGAAAGCCTTACAAAGAAAAGGTTCCAAGCCACATGGCTAAACATAGATAAGAATTATGGGTGAATTTAAGTTGTAAGAGCTAGTTAGCAATAAGCCTGAGCAATAGCCGAACAGATTATAACTAATATAAGCCTCTATGTGTTTCTTTGGGAATGGCTGCAGGACTGGGTGGAGCAGAAACTCCCATTTACAGAACTGCTTGGTGGCATAAAGAGGTCCTCCCCACCTTTCCTCCTCCCCACTTTGCACAGGTGCCAGGTGGGCACTGGTCTGATAGTCCTTCTCCATTCTGTTTTGTTCCTCATAAGAACCTATCTTAGTTAGGGTTTCTATTGCTATGAAGAGACACCATGAGTAAGGCAACTCTTATAAAGGGAAACATTTAGTTGATGTGGCTCACTTACAGTTTTAGAGACTCAGTCCATTATTATCATGGCAAGAAGCATGGCGACATGTAGGCAGATATGGTTCTGGCCACATCTTGATTAGAAGGCAATGAGAAGTGGTCTATGACACTGAGGATATACAGGACCTCAAAGCCCACCCCCACAGTCATACACTTCCTCCAACAAGGCCACACCTACTCCAACAAAGAAATATCTCCTGATAGTGCCACTCCCTTTGAGGGCCATTTTTTTCAAGCCACCACAATACCTCTGTATACTTTTTACTATCTTTTGGTCTTCTAACTAAAGAATTCAAACTGGCCCGAAGGGCAACACCTACCTAGCCACACTTACAAATGTAGAGCTTGGATGGAAGGAAGGAAGTGGGATGACAGAAACTACAAATATCTTTTTCAAATTACATGGTCCTGTAACATAAAGCATTCTTTAAGGTGTGTGTATGTGTATATACGGATGTGCACACATGTGTTTATACTTGCAAAAGCAGTGAGAATTCTATTCTTTTTACATTTGCACTATATACTCCAGGAGAATCGATTAGTTGGCTTTGTTTTCTGATTCTATTCTAATCCATGGCAACTGAGAAGATCTGAAAGAGGTTAGCAAATTTTATAACCTGGATAAGCCTAGGAGGGTGTTAGTTGTTATGTTTAATATTTGTGAGCTCTTAATCCTTGGATGCAGGTACTAAAATAATGCATTCCCAATGCAAAAGGTAGCCAGTGTCCTGAGTAGAAATGCATATTACCAACCTTCTGACGAAGAGATGCTGAATTTATATGTGTGAAATTTAATTAATCTAAACCATTTTAGTTTAGTCATCTGGCATGTAATTGTGTGTATGTTTTCAGGGTTACCTATGAGAATGTATTTGCACATGTGTGCGGAGGCCAGCCTTGGTTGTCATTCCTTGAAAACTGTCCACCTTATATTTTTAGATAGGGTCTCTCATTAGAACCAGAGTTTAAATGGTTTAGGCTAGGACAGCTGGCCAGTGAGCCTCATGGAAGAGTCTATTACTATCCCTGGAGGCAAAAGAGAACACTAAGGGTGAAATAGGTTGAAGGTAGCTTGCCTTGCGACACCACTAACTGGCTGTAAAGTCAGTATTGGAAACCAGGTGAGTGAGTTACTAAAGTTCAACCCCTTCCCATCTGGCCTTGCCTCTTCTGTGGTTCATATTAAAATGGACAGTGAGGAAAACACCATTGCTAGTAACTGTGAACTCAGGAAAAAATCTGATGGAACTTCATTAGATAAGTTAGAAACTTTACAGGCAAAGTAAATCTAAACACCTACTATTTAAACTCCAGTACTTAATGACCTAGTATTGACATGAAAGGGGCCCCCCAAAAAACTAATGAAAAGAACCCAGTCCAGGGATGGACCCTGTAGGAAGGGGAACTGATTTCATGATGAAAACCCAAATTTCATCTTGAATGATGGTACATGCCTGAAATCCCAGCAGTCAGGAGGACAGGACAGTTGTGAGCTCAAAGCTAATCTGAGTTAGATAGTAGGCTAGAATAACAGCAGTTGGTTGCTGTTTGTGTGACTTCAAAACTACACCTATCAAATGTAATGCGAAGTCAGTGAAACCTGGGGAGTCAGGATCATAGAATGGGGGTGGGGATGGAGACTGTGAAACTGGGGTCAGCCACTGGGAAGGAAAACCTCAAGTAGGGACAAGGACGTGTGTTTCAGGGAAGGGGTTTGCTCTCAAAAGATTCTGATAAACTGTGCGCCTTGTTTCCGACTCACAACGGTGTTCTGTTTGTTTTGCTTCCCCCCACCCCCCAGAAAGGTTTCCTGTCCAGAGAAGAGGGCCAAAACCTACTGTTCCCATAAATGAGCCGGAGAATGCACACTGCGATTTCCTTCCAGAGTCAGCAACACCCAGCCCAGGTCCCACAAACCTTTCTCTTGTTAAAGGCAGTGAGTGTCCCCAGTCACTCAGAACCACAGCCATGTTCCCAACTCGGTTCTTTTCTCCTGACAGAGGCATACAAAACATCAGCACCCATGGCCCTCCTGTGCACTGGGGATGGCAAGAGGCAGGTGACCAGGGTAGGAAAACAGGATGGTTCTGGTCACCTCCAGATCCACTCCAAAAACCCCTAGAATTGGAAGTGCAGCAGAGGGGCTGTGAGACTCCGATATGACATGTCTCTGTCACTTAACTACTGGCCCATCATCCAGTCACTCCATCTCACTGATAAAATGAAGTACACAGTTCTCGGTCAAAAGTAGCAGGAAGCATTATTATGATGTAAACAAGAAAAGTGAAACTAAGCCATAAAAAGTAACCTGGCCTAGATCCAGGTCTATTTACATCAGGGTTTGGACCTGTTGCTGCCCCTCCCAGCCCCCGCCTTCTTTTTTTTTTTTCCAGCAGAGTGCTTTAGCCTGCACCTAGGTTCCTCTTTTTTAAAAAAAATTTATTTATTTATTAAGGATTTCTGCCTCCTCCCCACCACCGCCTCCCATTTCCCTCCCCCTCCCCCATCAAGTCCCCCTCCCTCATCTGCTTGAAGAGCAATCAGGGTTCCCTGACCTGTGGGAAGCCCAAGGACCGCCCACCTCTATCCAGGTCTAGTAAGGTGAGCATCCAAACTGCCTAGGCTCCCACAAAGCCAGTATGTGCAGTAGGATCAAAAACCCACTGCGATTGTTCTTGAGTTCTCAGTAGTCCTCATTGTCCGCTATGTTCAGCTAGTCCGGATTTATCCCAGGCTTTTTCAGACCCAGGCCAGCTGGCCTTGGTGAGTTCCCGATAGAACATCCCCATTGTCTCAGTGTGTGGGTGCCTAGGTTCCTCTTTTAATGGTGTCTGAAAGCAATCCCTGTCCCTGTGCCTCTCTTCTGGTCACTTACTTGCGGCAGGACAGGTGGAAGCATCCATGAATGAGTGAGTGGGCCAGTGGCCAGTGCAGAACTGATAAAGGGAATCGCTGTTCTCACGTTCTGATTTCGGCACCCACTGCTACCTCAGGGACACCGACCCGGGCGTATAGCTGGGCATCGTTGACTGTGAAGGGCACCACTTTCATCCAGGCAGCTTGAGAAGAGGTACCAGCTCTCTCCACCTGTGCAAAAGCGCTGCTCCCACGCTATCTCAGCCGGGTGCTCTTCTCTACTTGGAAAGGGAAGCACCCATTCCCAGAGGAAATACCAGGGCTGTGTAGGAGTGAAGGGTTGGATGCAAGAGGATGGGGCAGTCATCAACTCCCACAGGCTATTTTGAGAGAGGAGCCAATGTGACCCAAGTGGAAATCCTAACTCCGTAAACATTTCCCAAACCACTGAAGAGAACTCAAAGAATGGCGATCCTCAAAGCAGGCCTGAACTCCGAGATACCCCAGCGACTTGCACTACGAGAAGATCTGGTCTTTTAGAATTACCCACTAGGTAGGCGGCACTTGTCTGGCACACCTCTTGTGGCTTGAGAGTTGGCGAAACCAAAGCGGGACAGAGCAGAGCCAGGAGTCTGCGGAGCACCCAAGCGCGGAGCTCTCCCATCGGGGAAGCGGAAGGAGGCGGCGCACGGTCCGCGAGGGTGCGGGGCTCCGGTACTCACCAGTCTGGCGAGCGGCTCCGGAGCCCGGCCGCTCTTCGGCCTGGCAGGGGCGCGGGTGCGGACGTCTGTCCCGGCGTGTGGAGGCGGCCCCGCGCCCCGGCTATGAATCAGCTGCGGGGCAGGAGTCCAGGGGCGGGAGTTACGGGAAGGCTTCTTCGGGGAGGGGGGGCCCGAGGGGCCAGCACTGTTGCAATTTCCCGTCTCGCTGAGCACTTTTGGCACTCCTGGGACCCGCAGGAATTTGCCTTCTGGTCCCAGGGGGGGACGATCGGGACCCTGCAACAGGGCGCTGTTCCCGGGACAGGGCGGGCGGGACCGGTGGGAAGGGAAGTGGGAGAGGCCTGGAAAGGAAAAGCTGTGCCCAGAGAGTAGCATCCCGCTACTCTGCTAAGGACAGGGGAGGAGCCAGGACCCTGTGCCCTGGGCCAGGTACTCCTGCACGGAGTCACCTGTGATGTCTGGGAGACCCAACCCAGCGGGCTCTGTCAGAAAGTTGCTTCAAAGGACAGACTCTTGGGTCAAACTTATGATCGTGTTAACTTTCGGCTTTGAGAGCAAGACAAACGTGTTGGAACAGTCGTCTATCCTGCGTGTTTCTCCAGAACAACCTGGAAACGCCCTGTCTGACCACGCCTCCTGCCGCTTCAGACCGGATTGCTTCGTCCACGGAGAGCCGATTTGCGTTCTCTTCTTAAAATGCAGTCTGGTCTTTAGTGCTCAGGCGTTTGAAAGACATTTTTGACCTCTCTTTGTGGTTCTATGACGGAATGCCCTTAGCCAAACCGACTTTAGGAACTGGCATGAAGCTTTGTAACGCGTTCCCTTCTGCCCAGGCCCAGAAGCTGGGAGAACCGCCCACCTGCACGTTACACCTTGCTCCCCGCCAGCAAACCCAAGTTCAGTTCACATTGGGAAACCACCTAAAAGTCACTAAGGGAAGGGAACTGAGGGGGAATTGTGATAGATCAGGACGTGCGGACGACGAATGAGGCCTTAGAATCTGAAATTGAGTTAATGGGACACCTTAAAACAATGTCAGAAAAATTAGTTATTGCAAAAATCTTCGCTTTCGTGTCTGTGCATGTTTTTTCATCTTTCCTAATGACATTTCAGGGAAGCGGTTTTTTTTAAATTTTTTTTTAAAGAAAAGATTCCAGTCCTCTCAATACCTAATACCCAATGGTGCCCCGAAGACTGGCGTGCACAGTAAATATTTGAAGACAATTAGGAAAAACTACATCAATTCTAGTGAATAAATGCGTGGTCCTTTGCCACACCTTTTATTCCTTAGCTTTAAAGAGTCCATTAGTGTGGCCGCGTGAACAGCCTTAGGAATATCTTCGAGCCAAGTCTCACCCTCTGGAGAGGCTTTCTGATCTATTTCACTAAGCATACAAACGGTGTGTGAGTGTATCAGCATCTCCTTTCGCAGGAAGAGTTGAGAGTTGAGAGTCACGGCTGAGGAACTTTTATAAGGGAAGCGCATGCGTGGAATGGACTGCTACCATATTCAACTTCTCAGAGGGAAAGTGGATGCACTACTAACAAATCATAATATACCCAGGCGTATTTCTTTTTATATATACATATATAATATGAAGATATAATAGAGAAATTTCATGTAAAATGTAAAATACAGCTATGATTTTTTCAACTGCTGCAAATAGCTATAATTTCACATTGGATGATGCATCACCACACTGATAAATTGGAAGGAACTGAGATTTTCCTGAAGAAAGTACACTTATAACTCAGCAATGGGTAGCATTTGATAATTACCTTCATCTATAAGAATTTTTTGTTTTCATATTTGCCATAGATTTCACATAGATTGTCTTTAGTGCCGTAGGAAGTCTTACAGCTTGCGGTTACCCGCCTACTGGGGCGAGGCCTCTTATACTATATATGCTGATGCAGAGCCTGCATCCGCTCTCTTTTTGACTGCTCTTTTTAGTTGCTGGATTCGCTCTCTGTTTTCCGTTTAAGCAAAGGATTTTTATTTGTGAGCTTACCCCTAAATAAATAACCATATAATTTTTAATTTTGAGCTGGTGTGGAATTTCTTTTTAAGCCTCCTTTCACATTTGGCGCCCACGTGGAATCAGACTCCCCGCCTCCTGAATTCGGTTTCTGTTTTCCGTTCAAGGATTCTGATTTGTGAATTTACCCCTAAACAAATAACCATCTGTTTCTCAATTCTGAGCTAGTATGGGATTTCTTTTAAGTGTCCTTCCACACGTTAGGCCTTCAGTGAAGCAAGCATCTAAAATTATGATAAGTGATGATCTTGACTTTTTTATAATAAAACTTAATGTAACTTAAATTATGATTTTATCAATGTAAAAAAATTTACAGTGAAAAAAATAGGCTTTCTCCAAATTTTTAAATCTTAATATATGGCATAAGCTTTAGCTAAGGGACATCTAAGCCTTCTAAATACCTAAAAGAAGAACTCCACACGACTAGGGAAGCTGTTGGATCGGAAAGGGCCACATGGAACCTTTTAGTTCTTCTTCCAAAACTTCCCTGCAGAAACCCAGAGGACCACATCTGAGGGCTGAGCAGAGAAGAGGTGAATTGACATGAGGGAGAACATCGTTTTGTAATTCTCAGAGAGTTCCTGTTGTAACCACACTTACGTCTTATTTTAGAGATCACTGGAAACAAGATCATATGGAGAATGATATCTTGTTTTGGATATCTATTTCTTTTCTTCTCCCATGATCTTTAGAAAAATGTCAACTGTATGTTTGCTTAGGCGGCTGCTTCTATGCACTAGCCCTTTGATTATGGGGCTTAAACTTGGATTCAGTTATAGAGCTGGAAGACAGGTCACTGGCACTCAGAAAGAAGCACTTCTGAGAGAATTAGATGGGAACTTGGGGACTTTTGAAAGTTATTTGTAATTGATCAAAAAAATGCCCTGCTATGGTTTTGACCTTAATCATTCCCCAAAGAACATGTGTTGAAGACCCTTACCCACCAGTTAGGCTACGGAGAGACAGTGGAAGCTTTAGAAGTTGGAATCAGTTGAAGAAAATGAAGTCACTGGTGCACACCCTCACCTCGACTATTGGAACCAGGCTCAGTTCTCTCCTCTCTCAGCTTCACTGTGAGATGGACATTGACCTTCTCCACCATGTGTTACCACAGTAACATGATGCACTGTTGCCATCAGAGCCCCGAGACTAACAGGGCCAATTCATGACTGATCCCTCTGAAGTCTTGAACCAAAATTAATGTTTCTCTCTTTTGAGTCGTTCATCTCGGGTATTTTTGTACCAGCAACAGAAACGGGTCTACACCTGAAGTTTTGGAGTCTGTTTCTCTTATAGACAGCATGAAGTTGGGGCTTTCACAAACATCTATTAATAACCCAGCAATTTAATTTGATAAGGATTTTATTACTCATATTTAAGGCCATTGTAGGTACACTTATATTGTGCCTGCTATTGTGTTTCTCTTCTTTGATTTTTTTTTCATTTGTTTGGCTCACTCTAGTTTTGTTTTTCTATCCTTTCCTTTTTTCTTCTCTTAGATTTTGAATTAAAATATTTTTTTCTTTTAGAATTCCACTTTAACTTTTTCAATATGCCTTGCTACATCATGTTATTTTTTCTCTACAGATTAAAACATATAGTCTTTATGTTCACTGTGTGCTTTACACAGTATTGCAAGTACTATATAAATAAATGCATTTATTCATAGCCTATTTTCTTTACACCATAGCTATAAAGTGTGTTACATCTACAGACAAGATAAAACAGCAGGGTAAGTTTTTAAAGAAAATGAAGGAGGTAGATAAAATGGCTCAGTGGGTAAAGATGCTTGGCTTGATGCCAACCCTCACCACCTGAGTTAGGTTAGAGACTCTCAGATATCCTGCTGTTGCCCTGAGAACTGGGAATCCTGCAGCTATGGATCCGAAGAGCCAGTCCCTTCCCGTGCTCTAGCAGCTCCAAGATGGGGAAAATGTTGGGGAGCGCCACCTCAAAGCCCTGAATCTTGGCCTGGGTGGTAGTTGCGGTTGATCAGCCTGCCAGCTTTTCTGCATCCAAGCCACCACAGCTGACTCTCCTCTGGCCAGGTGAGGGGCAGTATCAGATCTCGGCTCTCCCCCATTCCCACGCTTCTGGGTATACCCATGATAGGATGGTCAGTTTAACAGAGCCGTTCAGCTGTGACTGGGGTGTCCCTCCCTACATGTGCAATTTGACCTGCTAAGCATCTTTCAGTAGGAAGTTCTAGCTCTTTCCACTTCTAGGTTAGATTTTCCTCTAAAACAGTTGTGTGTGTGTGTGTGTGTGTGTGTGTGTGTATGACTTAGCTTCCTATTGCTGTAACAAAAATCTGAGATAGTCAACTTATAAAGAGAAATAATTTGGCTGCTTTATTTTAGCATCATTGAGCTTGATTGGTGATAGGCCTGTGTCAAAGCCACGAGTTCCAGTGGGAATGCACAAATCTCTCTGGAGAGAGACGGGGGGGACAGAGTCCCACTACCCCTTCAAGGTCATGTTCCCAATGAACTAAAGGTTTCTATGAAGCACTACCCCCGATAATGTGGGACTCGAGCCTTGATGATTCATGGCGGCATTCAATATCCAAATGGTAGCAGGAAATAAAAGCCTAGTTTTCACTTTCTTTCTCAAACAGTAGAGTATATTTACCTTCTTCTTTAACATGGAAGTATATCAGAGCAAACCACATTTTAAAAAAAATCTGCTGAAATCACATAAAGTTCAGTGTATTACGACTAAACAACCCACCACAAGGAAGATGAATAAACATTATTAGCACAGCACTACAAGGTAAGTACTTTAAACAAGAAAGGGGGGAGTCAAGCATGTTCCTTCTTTCCCCACTGAACGCCGTGCGAGTGCTAAACAGTGTTCAGGCAGTAACGAGCTACACCTGATCCTTGTGATTCTTATGGTTGAGCTAAGTATGCTGCTATGCAAACGTTCTGAGGCTACTCCCCTCTCTGCTGCGCTGATCAGCATGAATGATGATGTGAGTGCAGCAGCAACTCTTGTCCACTGCGGACGGAATATGGCCATGGGATGATGCTTTTAACTCTGTGTGACCT